TAATAAAGGGAATCAAGATTCAGTGTTTAGTTGCACTCGGAGCAACCATCTACATACCTGATCCAGCATGTGCGAGTTTCAATCCTCATATCGCCGACGCTCAGACTCTGCCGCCTGGTACTCCGTATTGGACCCTGAAATTTACACTGGGGCTTCCGGGTTCAGTGTTAGTCGCTCTTAGGCCTGCATGCACTTTACTCGTACGGAGGTGCTGTGCGGTACCCGTACCGGGAAGCCATTCGCTCTCTCCTGTGCCCTGTGATACGCGCATGTTTCAGGTAGCAGATGGCCTCCACTGCGCGGATAACCAAGTACCATGAGATCACTGCCTGTGTGTCTGTGCAACGCAGGAGGTACCTCCGGCCTCTACCTGTACTACCACCTCCTGGTTTCGCCTCTTCTGTGTTCATCCTCAAACATTCCTAGGTGCGGGTTGTTGGCATTCCCTGTTTCGCACTGTGAATTTTCTTTGGGCTACTAGCAGCGATCGCCGATACTAGCACGAAGTAATTCTTCATTTTGTATTCATGGACATTAGCTAATGAAAGTTATTACTCCGCCAAGTCTGCGAATAAAACCAACTTCCTCACATACTTGTAGCAACACAGCCAATTATTAGGAGGTGCAATAGTAGCAGTACTAGCGGTACCTAGAGCTCTTAGTGGGCTGGCCGCTCCCACTTAGCGCTAATCTGCAGGTCAACTCTCGCCCCCCCGCCCCGGGTCTTACTCCTTTGGGGAGCTTTTTTGGGGGGTTCGCGGCTCAGGGTCAATCCACTCCTCAAACGGCATTACAGCACTTCATCTCGAGTAAGTAACTGGACAGTAAAAGGGGGCAAAAGACCCTTTGAGCTGGCGGGCATGAGATTGGTCTGCTTTACTGCATTTTCATTTCACAGGTTCCGATCGATACCTACTCCAAGCGAAGGATCAGATACCCTCGGCTTTGTTCTTCGTAGTCGGATAATCTTGTAATCTTGTGTACTAGATTACTGCTAGCAAGTCGGGGCCGCTGATCGCTATTCGCAGCCAGCCCAGCGCGAAGTTTCTTCCCTTCCCGTCCGCCCAAGCGCGGGCAGCCACCCCCCTTTTCTGGATCTGGAGAAAGGGAACAGCAGCAGTGGCACAGTGTGGAGGGGGCGCATTCTGCGTGACCTGGTGCCCATCACCAATTAATTCCATCAATCAACCAATTGGTGCTGCAAGCATGCATGCAATCGTCATTCATTCACTTGCTCGCTGCTCAACTTGTTCCGCATCCTGTGACTATCTATCTACTTGTATGTAATTGTCAACTACTGAAACACAACTGCTTCTGCTGCTGCCATCCCGGTTATTTTTGGCATTGATCCTCGAGGTTGCTCTGCCGCGTGCGTTTTGCCCGCTGCAAAGGGGACCCCCCTTGTGCTGTAACCAGCCCCGGCCAACTCTGTCTGCAGTGCTCTCAGCGCATTCAGCATTGCTCGCCCAGGGCCTCCTCCAGCGCTAGCAGTGGCTGCCCTTAGAGGGCCGCGGTGCCTGGGGCTTGGTTGCTAGCCGGTAGCGCACATCTTTGTTTGGCGGCTGGCTGTGACGCTAAGCCCAGCCTTGCAGGTCCAAGGAATTTAACTGCCATAGTCCCCTGTGTCGCGAGTCAACCTCTCGAGACCCTTCTACTTGGACATACATAGCATTTTGACATCAAATTGAAGCAATTGTATCGCCATCATGTCCGCCAACGGTTACTTTGGTAAGCGCTCCCGCCGCCCCCAAATGCGTCGTGATTTGATTCCATTCATCCCTTGAATCCATTCATTGGAGCTTCGACCACGCATGTCGCTCCTGGTGCCGTCATGCCGACCGTTCGCTGGCGCTGGTGCCGTCCTGCGACACCACGGCGGCAAGACGCGCAAAGGGGGCATCATCTCAAGGAAAAAAACAAGGCGAATCAATGAGATTATCGCATGACGCCTGCGGTCGAAACCAATCAAGGGGGCCAAAGCCCACCTGGCGGGCGCATTCAGGCCTATCCTCTCCTCTGATCGACCCTCCTCCTGCTGTATCATGTTGACGAGACGGGCTGCCGTCCTGTTTCATGTTTTGCCCATCATTCGCCTATCTGGCCTGCCGCCGTCCGTCGCTTCATGCTGATGCTGACTGGCGTCTCCTATAGGGCAGCAACCCGCCTCGCAGCCGCCCAGGCTGTCGTTCAACGGCGACCTCAATGATAATAACAGCGATAGCCTCGCCTCCAACAATCCCTTCCGCAACATGCGCACTGCTTCTCCGTCCTTCCCCACGACGCCTACATCGCCCTTTGACGACCCGATGCCGTCCCAACGCCCTCTATCGCGGAACCCTTTCCTGGACCAGCCTCTGGCACCGCGGCCGGTTGACAACCTGGCTGCTCCTGCTGGTCCCGACAAGACTCAGTCTCTCACTGCCGAAGACATCTTTGTGCGTTTCCATCTCTCACCATCTCTCTTACGACATAGTCGCGTATACCGAACTACGCTCTCTCTCCTGGTTGTCTAGAGTCAACGAGATCAACCAGTGCTAACAGAGGTATTGATATCAATCTAGGGATCCCTGACGCTCGACGACTCTCCCGCCTTTTCAGTGAAGCAGCCGCCCAGCGACTCGCAGCCCAAGAAGCGTCCCACAGACCGGCCAGCGCCTGCTCGTCGTGAAAGCGAAAGCCAGGCATCCAGCAGGCATCGCCCTACTCGCTCCCAAGAAGAGGCCCTGAGAGCCCGCAAGCCACCGCCAAAGAACGCGACTTCGAGCACCACCCGCCCAAGCCTCTTGGACGATTCGCCGCCCCGTAAGCCGGTGCAGCGACGCCCGAGACGCAACTCTGATTCATCAGCCATGGATTTCGATTCGAAATCTCTCACTGCTGAGGAGAAGAGGATGATTGAGGCCAAGCGTCGGGAAAAGAGCAAGGCCAAGCAGCGCCCCAGCCGCAAGATGGACATTATTGATCAGCTGGACGCCACCAGCATTTATGGAACAGGCTGTATGTATAACCGACTTGGCAAAAGTCTCCCCGTTTCGATATTCTAGCATGTGCGTTTCTAACTTGATTTTTTTCCCTTTTAGTATTCCACCATGATGGACCTTTTGATGCCCTCAACCCTCACCGAAATCGTCAGAACAGCAAGAAGCTGTCTCCGATGCAAGCCTTTCCGGAGGGCTCTCTCAACAACACACTTGGCGGCTCCGGCCCACTCAACGCCACGGCTGACCATTCCAACTTTATGGGTCACGGATCTGGCGAAGCCTTCAATGACTATGCCGCCAGCAGCAAGATTCGAGAGCCCGTCATCTTTGACTCAGCGGCTCGTGCCAGTTTGGTGCACGGAGATGAGTCTCATGGACTGGGCACCTCAACCTTCCTCGAGGGAACGCCGGCTGCACGATCGGCCATTGTCCGCCGAAACGAAGAGCAGGCTCAGGAGATTGCCGAAGGTGGCTTGCAGCGGAAGAAGTCTGTAGCACAGAGAATCAGAAACAGGGTGCGACCAGACTACAGCAACAGACCCATGCCAGGCCACGGCCGATATGAATCCGACGACTTTGGCGAGTTTGGCGGCCGTGAAGAGGTCAGAGCCCCGAGACCACCTCCTCGTGAGCGCGAGCGCGAGCGTGACGGCAGGCCTTCACCCCCATTGAAGCCACGACAAAACTCAGCAGCGGGTGCGTTGGAGGGACGATCCTCGGAAGCACTGCCATCTCCATCTGAGGAGATGCCCTCCAAGCCATCAGGCCTCTTAGGCCGGATGAAGAGTTTGAAGGGCGGCAGGCGACCAGTCAGGAATGCCGAGACACCCGGGATGGCTACCTAAAGCACATTGCATTTGGATTTGGCAAAGCGTGAAATTGTGAAAGCAGCAGCTGGACGATACGAATGTGTTTGGTTCCCCATGGTCTATAAAAACGATATCCGCATGACATTTTTTCCGGAGACAGAGGTAGAGAGAGTTGGGAAAGGTTGAGAATGATGAATCAGAAGGGGAGTTTGCTGTTTTTTAAATACTCCCTGGAGGACTGATTTGGGGCATACGGGAGAGATGTCTGCCCATTTAAAGAACTGAGCCTTTGGTTATTCGTCAAAGCCCGCATATGAGAGAACCTGTTTTTTCAGTTTTTTTTTTTTTTCTTGTTGTTTTTTCTTACACTTTTTTCTTATTCCAGCGGGCTGTGTACTTAATATATGAAATTGTTTTCACTCTTGTGTTGTTTAAAGATAAAAGAAGACAGAGTAGGTCGTGAGCTATTCTTTCTGTTCCTTTTACTGTACAAGAGCCACAAGAGTGTGAGGAAATCTCTCTTTTCTCTGCCGCCAGAAAAGGCTCTTCAAAATTATAAAAAAAAAAAAAAAAAAACTCATGGCTGAATGGAGAAGTAGACAAATCTGTTTTTTCCCTGCAGTGGATTCCAGTAGTGTATGATGCCGAGTTGTTCGTTGCGATGTAGGATTGCTGAAGCTGGTCTGTGGTGGAATTTTTCGGAATGTTACGTTGAGATACAGTGTACGAAGAAGACGTTGAAGCAGTTTAGCTAAATATTAGGTGGCTGAAATGAAAAGACGTAAAGTCAGTTGCTCAAACTATGGATTTTTTTTTTTTATAAAATACATTTTATTGCGATTCTGAAGGGGATAGTAGACCTGGTGGCTTCTTTACTGGCGCGGCGCTCACTAGGGATGGCGACTCCACAATGAACGTCTTCTACCAACATCACACGCCGGTTTGGCAGAATCATCAATCATGGTCTCTTGAGCTCATAGGTCCAATCTCGTACTGCTGGACGGCGCCTTTTTGTGTATGAAATCCAATAGGTATGCCTCATAGAGAGTGGGCGATGACAATGGCTTATCATGCTGTACAGAGCCATACGACGAATAGCATCATCCTCAGAATAAAACAGCTTCTCAGCTTGTCACTACAGATGCACCCACGCCAAAGCACTTCTCCAGAAATATATCACTAATAACATCAGGTGTATGTTTAAAACAGCATGGCAGCAGCCTCACATCGTCAGCTCACGTTCACCCCGCCAGGTCATCGACGAGATCCCAATTCACGGCCCAGACCTGTGTCGGCCTCAGTCCTTGCGAGCATCGAGAAGCAGCGTCGAGACTTTGTGAGAGGTCTGGGGCCGTGTCGGAGTGGATGCGAGGATCTGGACAATTATGTCCTTCTTGCGGGCGGGTTTGAGAGAGGAAGTGTCGTTGGGATAAGCGCAGAGAATGAAGATGGAGTGGGCGTGATGGTGAGTTTGATGACCATATATATATATATATATATAAGTGCTTTTGACTTGCATTCATTCTCATGTTCTCTATCCTATTCTTACAAGCTCGTAATAGCTAATGACTCGTCATCACAGCTAGGTCTCCAAGTGCTAGCATGCTCTCTCCTCGACAGCGCCGCTCAAAGAGTTCAAGTCATCACGCCGAAGCCGCCCAGCACCATTGTCGTGCTGCTGAAAAACGCTCTCACAGCCGAGCTCAAAGCAAGGGGTGTCTCGAAGGCGGATGAAGTTGCGGCCCGGAGGAGAGACTGTCTGGACCGAATCATGCTGTCGCGAGTCTTTGACATGGATGGGCTGGATGAGGTTTTGGCGGATCTGGACGCCACGGCTGCTGCTCCTGGGGGTGGTAAGGAGGAGGAGCAGATTATCGAGATACAATCGGCGGAAGAAACAGCTGCTCTGGCAGTGCGGCTTGATCCTACTGCCGCTGATGTTGGCGGCGATGGTGCTGGTGATGATGCTGCCTCCAACAAAGAAGAGAAGCCGCAGGAAGCATCTGCCGTCGCCGAGATCCAAGACAGCCAAGACGACGAAGATGAGACACCATCCCCTCCACCATCTCCAATATCATTACCTCAGCCCCCTCAGCCTCACGCCGACGACAACAATATTAAAGATACAACAGCAACAATAACCACAGCAACAACAGCAACAGCAACAGAGCCAGGTAATCACAGCATTCCTAATAGACAAGTCGACAGCGAAAGCAACAACGACAAACCCACTACCACTACAGCTTATTCAACCCCCGACATCATCCTCATCACCCATTTCTCCTCTGTCCTCACCGGCTTCTTCACCCAGCGCGACAAATCAGCCGCCCACGCCGCCCTGCGCCTCCTCGCTACTCGTCTCCGCCATCTTTCCAGAACGCTCCCTTCACACCCGCTCATCCTCCTGCTCAACTCTACAGACTCCGGTGCCCACGCCTCGGAATCTCACAACCATGAGAATCATCTACACATGAATTCAATCCCACTACCGCTGCCAGATCAGCAATCATTATCCTCTACTGCCTACAGGTCGGCTACTTCCTCCACCGACCCAACTCTACGATCCATCTTCAACCCAGCTCACCACGCCAGCACATCATACAAGGCGAACAAACCAACCTTTGGCCTCGTCTTCACTCAGCTGCTTGATCTCCACCTCCTTTGCACGCGATCTCCGCGCCCCAGCAGGGCAGCGCCTTCTTCGCTTCGTGCCATGACGGTCGTGGAGGTGCTGTTGGATGAAATAGGCTTGTGGGAAGGGGAAAGGGGGCAGAGGAAGAGGAGAGAGCAGCGGTGGACGATTGTGGCTTTGCGCAATGGCCGTATGGTTAGTGTTTCCGGCAGTGGGAGAAGGATAGAAACCCAGGGTGATGATTAGGAAACTACTATATATGATTGATTTACATCACAGTGGCTCCTTTCTCTTGTCTCACTGCTTTCGCTGTAACAGCAGGCAGACTTGGAATATTGAGACAAGTCAAGTGTATCATAAGTAAACATTGCCTATAACCCCTTGAAATCAATCACTCATTACATGAAATCTGAAACAAATATGCTAAAAGCTGCGAGCTGCCACGTCTACTACAAATATGTGTGTGTAAATGAATCTACCTCCAATTATAAGCGTCCTCTTAGAAAAGTGCCGGGTTTCAAGTCCTATGCCCCTAAGTTACAAAGCTTTCCCACTCTCATCTACGTACAATGTCTTCCTTCATTTTGAAACTCAAATTCCATCCCTCTTCCTCGGATAGCTCTGAGTGAGGTCATCCACTTGCTTGCTGCTCCTACACTCGCCTAGCTCACTCTCGCCACTCACTTACGAACAAAAGCAGAAAAAAGGAACCAATAAAGGGAAATAACAGAATTGAGAAATGGGGGAAATAAAAGCGCAATGACGTGAAGACAGACCTCTGTGGGTGCTAAAGGCGATTGTAGGGATGCCTCTTGATTCTTTCAGCGCTCATATCAAGCGTAGATGCCCCATCTCGCACCGCCTAGAGTCGCAGTGCTTGATGCGGTGTATGTAAAAGGTTGAAAAAAATAAGAAAGAAGGGAAATAGCGAAGAAAAGAGACAGAGTTAAAGCTGTCCTCTCAAATATATTGCTCTCGGGATTGAGGCAGCTGTATCTTTGCGATTTCGTGGAATCATCCAAGAAAAGTTTCCTGGAAATTAAAGAATTCTAGTATGTTGTTGGACGAAGGCTACCATTATCGCTGTTGGGTGGTTTGTGCGGGCGGTTGTGCGCCAAACACGTCCGATCGCCTGCTGCTCTTCCAAAAATCAATGGATTCCACTACATCCTCCCCTCTTTCATCTACATAGGCGAATATAATCTATCGTGAACCAGTCAGTAAAGAGAACAGCATATGGATTATCAGTTGATATTAGGTGATAGAAACATACCTCGTGAGTGCTGCTGTGGAGCATCCTGATGTTCTTGTGAGGAACAATATGTACAGCACCATTCTCAATATTGCGCAACTCAACAAAGTTCGGCTCAAATGCAAGAATCCAGGGGTAGCTGAGCGCAAAGTTCTGAGGTGAACCTTCCCAATCGATTCTCCACTCTGGTCGAGCTCTCCAACCATTTCGGTTGACAAAGAAGGAAAATTCCGAGTAGTTGAGCAGAAATTCTCCATTGAGACGTTCAATATGGATGGGCTTGGCTCCTTCTTTGCGGGCCACGAAATCCAAAGAGGTATCTGCCTGGTCAAGCAGCGACTGCGTTTCAAGTGTCTCGAGCGAGACGACTTCAAAGCCTCGAGCACATGCCACGCACAGTTTCGACTTGAGGAAATGCACAGAAGACGATTCGGTCGGGATGTAGAACTCCTTGAAAGGCCTCAGCTCATCGAAACCACCACCCATGAGCTTTCCGAGACCCTTCTGCTTCTTTCCTTTGGTCATAGCGTCATTAGGTTCAAACACTTTAATGGTAGTAGATAGTGTTGACGACTTGACGCAGCACACGAGATGCCGACCCATACAGATGCCAGACTTGAAGAAACTACAGTGGTTTTGGATCTTCTTAGGTCTCTTTGCCAGAGCAGGATCGTCAGACGTCAGGGCAGAGAGCGAATAAGAGAGTAGCGTCTTGTTGGAAAGAACAAGGAGAAGCTGGTATTCTTCAAGAATATCAATCTGGGTGACACTGGTCGTTTCAAGGACACGTCGAGGAACTGCCTCTGTGTTCTTGCGATCCGAAATATAGACACCGTTATCAGTACCATAAAGGAGCTTGCGGCCTCCGTCTGTTCACCAGTTAGCTCTCAGAATTGACGGGGTGGGGGGGGGAGGTAAGGTGGGAAATAAGGAAACCATAAGACGTACCAAATGGTGAGACACAATTAACTTGGTTCGTTCCCACAAAAAAGTTGCTGGAGATGATATTGGTTGTGAAGAAGTCGGCTCGCGCTCGGAGCCGCTGTTGTGAGGCGTCAATGTGCTCAAGCCACTTCTTCCGCGCTGCCTGGTTGGAGGCATAGACCGTGAGCTCATATCCTGCTTTGCCAAGATGCCTAAAGGTAATGGGCCAGCCTTCTCCCTTTTTGGCGTCTCCCGCATTGGTTCGTATGGCCGGTAACAAGCTAGATGCCGACCGCTTGACGCCGCCATCAGATGTGATCACCTCTTCCATTTCCCGAATGGCAAGCAGTTCCAGGGGAATGGGCCGTCGATAAGCCTTGACTTCTTCAGCCTTGCCATTCTGCTTTATGCGAACAAGCAAAACCGCATGATCGAAGAGGAAAGCAGTCAACTCGGCCGATTCAGTAGGCGACTTCTTGAACTGACTCTTGAACACAAGTTCGCGCCCATCTTCGGTAAGTTTCAGGTCGACGCGCTCATTGGGTCGGAACCGAAGCTGCTCCTGAAGCCTTCGCAAGTTGAAACGGTTCTCGGCTTTGCCAGACTCTGCATTCACTCTTCCTAAAAGATCTCGGATCATCGTGAGGACCTTTGGAATATCTTCCTTGTCGGGGCTGCCATCTTCCGAGTATTTCAGTACATTCTCCAGCAGCAGAGGGTACCTGGCCAAACGCGTGGTTGGCTTGGTAAGATAACCGTTAAGCTCCAGCTTTCTTGATTCCTTTCGCCGCTCAATTTCGTCGACAAGCTTGGAGAAGAAGGGGTTGATGGAACGCTCGTTTTCGAACTCAAATTTGGCTTCCAGTTGTCTGGAACCATAAAAGATGAAGGGCTCAAATTGTGGCACAAACTCCAGGAAAATATCACCAATATTCTGCACGATAGGATCCTTCTGTTGTCGGGTAGTCAGAGAGCTTGCAAAACGTGAGCTGACGCTATGGACACTTGGGTGATCAATGATGTTGCTGAAGATATTCTTGACCACTTTCTCTCTACGCTGAAGAGGTATCGGCGACGCCTTAGACCGCAGAGGAATGATCCAGAAATCACGTAGGTACTCAAGATCCTTGACGAAATCTCGTTCGGTATAGCAAATTTCGGATATAACCTCTTGTCGCTTCTTCTCTCGCTCGCTGACCGCGTCAGCAACCTCCTTTGGCACCGAGTTGATCCAGAGCTTCTGTTCATCAGTCTTATCAACCTCGTCATCGTTGACATTGGCAGAGTCTTCCTTGCGCAGTCCAGAGGTAATCTTCAGGTTCAATCTAGAAACCTGTTCTAGTCTTCTAGGGCAGGCAATAGAATAGCAAAGCTGGTCCCTCGTGCAAGTAGGCGAATAACACTCTGAGAGCAGCACAAAGACGCCGTTCACGGGCGTATCTTCAGGTTCATCCATCAGACTTTCTCGAAACTGGTACATTTCGGATTGTGAATCTCGCAGTCGATGTTCGTACGTGACATCGTGAAAATATTTCTGAGCATCCAAAGAGCGACCGAGTAACAGAGCCAGGTTTCGATCAGTCGTTCGAATGATGTAAGATAGTACATCGACTGCCTCTGAACCAGAAAAAGCATTCTTATATGTCAGCTCGTTCTTCGTTCTGTCGCCCACGATGATCTTCTGCCTGAAGCATTCGGCCACTCGTGAAAGAAGGGCTGGGTATACAAGCGGGGCTCGGATCTTCGTCGTCGCAGTAGTCGGGCGCTCGCTGTCGATGGATCTGCTTCTTCCTGGTCTTTGGACGAGCGTGCCAGCATCAGACTCACTAGGCGGAGTTATCGTGGAGGCTGTAGACATCATAGAAGCCATAGAGAAAGTTCTTCCGTGGTCCACAGTGCTACTTGTAGAGGTCATGGTTTGTGTGCGCGTCTGCGTCCCCGGCATAGGGGCATAGTGGGCAGTTTGGGCTGAGTACCCTGAGCTTGAGCTGGCATCGGTCGGCGCTCGCCGGTTAGGAATAACTCGCCCACTCATAGTTTGTGTGCCATCTCGATCTTGAGGATGGTAAACACCAGTTAATGACATTGAACGGTCATCATGGCGGTCCGGGACTACCCTACCTTGAGCGGTTGTCCTAGAGAGAGCATGCTGATTGTTATAGGGCGCTTGCCGAAATTGATTTGCAGACGACTGATTATAGTTACTTTGCCCGGGATACATCTGCGGGCGAGGCATGGAGGCTAGGGATTGCGATCGATATGCGTCGCTATTCAAAGCAGGAGGCTGTCCTCCTTGATATGGCCTCTGGACTGGGCCTCGTGGGCCCCCGGATGGTAGCGGCGGGCCGCGAGAGTCGAATCGAGGAGGCCCTGTACCCGGAGGCCCTGTACCCGGAGGCCCTGGATAAGGACGCCTGGCCTGCTGTTGCTGCTGCTGCAGGTATTGTGCTTGAGAAGAAGGAACTTGAGGCCCTGAAGCCGAGCGCTGGCCCGGATAGTTGCCATTCGCCATGTGATCGACCGGCCGAGGTCTCGGGGCTTGTTGTGGATCGTTATAGTACCCTTGGCCAGGACGAGGAGGCGGTTGGCGATGCATGCCAGAGGCAGATGACATTGTATGCGTCCTTCCTTGGTCAAGCATTGGTGGAACAGAGGCCGATGTCATGGTCTGGGACCTTCCCGGAGGCGGAGCAGCACCAAAGATATTTGAAAACGCGGCATCCCGTTGATAATTGCCATTCTGGTCGGGATAGCCCCGCGGCTGTTGGCGTTGGCCAGGAGGGCCAGGAGGTGCCCGGGGATTGTAGTGGTAGTCGGCCATGTTTCCTGCGCTGCAGACAGCGAAAGCAATCAGATCGAGTGTTCTCGGCAGACTCAAGGGGAGAAGGGGGACAAACGAGCTGAGAGTGGTGCGTAGGGCCAGCCGCTAGGGCGGTCAGACTCGAGATGATTCTAGCCAGCCAGATGTCCCGGTCGGCAGCGTCTCTTCGCGTGTCGTCGTAGCCCGGCGTGGCGAGGATATCGATATTTGGAGCCTTGCGTGGGAAAGCGCTTCCCCTTTGGAATGGATTCTCGGCCGTGGTAGAAAGGGGACCAGTGGTGGAGCGCTCGTCTCCCTTTCTCAAAGCCGTCCAGATGAACTGACGAAGGTCAATAAAAGCCCCAGTGTTCAACGCTTCTGTCAATGCCACTCTCTTGTAGTCTTGGGATACGATCGCTACGTCGTGTCAAGAAGGGTGCATCAGGGGAGTGGGCGCAAGATTTGCCAGCGGCGTGGGTGACGATGGCTGGTCGCGTTTCGAACCCAGACAAACTGTTGTTCTCCAGCCCAGCGGACGCCTCGCGATGCAGAGCAGCGTCAAGCCGAACAAGAACCCGGAGGGAGTCAGTCCTTCGCAGCTGGACTGGCAGATATGGCTGGTTGGCGACCGACCGACCTACCTTGTGGCTAGCAGGTGGTTTGGCTGTCTGATAACTGCTAGGCTAGGAAATAGGAAGTACGTAAAGTGGTCGCCGCGTATTACGGAGTGCTCAGGGATAGTGGGATTGAGTCGGCGTGCTGTTGGCACCGCCGCACCGCCTACAGGGGAGTCGACCTACCCGCAAGACATCCATGGAAGGCAGCGTCAGGCCTAGCGCACCTCTTTCAGGGCTATGGGGCATTCAAATGACCTACCTCTGCTAGAGCATGTTGATGCTGTCAAGTGCCTTTGTTCTCCCGTGTCGGTAGCCCCAGTATTGAACAACAAGTATCTAGCCTAGTAGCATTATCTAAACCCAAACATTAATCCTTCGGTGCGATTAGCAACTTGGAACTTGCAACTTGGAAGGCAAGAGAATCGGTTGGCTTCCGAGTTTGCGTAGACTAGCGCAGTTAACAGCGCAATACATTCCATCCAGTACCGCCTATTGAAGTACAGCAAAGCTCAGTTCAATCAGATACCGTCCGCCCCGGCAAGGCGCAGTTTCTACGCACCGTATCATAGGTAATTTAAACTTGCGATGGACGCTATTTTCTGCATGCTAAAGAGAAACTTTTGCTCGTGTCTGATGAATCGCACGTGAAACAGAGAGCTCGTGCATACACTCTCATAGGGTGGCATCCGGTCAGAGCTACCTCAATTATTAAACTAAAGAGAGCTTCCACTGCGCTTTCAAGGGCTTCGAGCATTTTCAAGAGCTTCGAGCAATCTTAAGAGCTCCGAGCAACCAATCCAACCGCTACAGATGAGGTAATACATCACATAGACGCCTATAGCTGCTAATCCTAGTTGTGCCTCCACGGAGCATTAGTCTGTACTCCGACGCTGCTTCAGGGATGCGAATAGCCAGACTAGCCAATGAAAGAATCCAGCCAGATACAGTCACGTGATATTCAGTTGCTTCTATTGGCTGCCATGACGCCAGCTTCAACACCGGGCGCCGAAGCCATTCTTCTCCCATCTGATCGCGCCTAGCTCTGTTATCGACGTCCGTCATTACCTCTATTCTCTCTATACTAGTGGCTACATCACAATCATGGAGTCAGAACTTGCTCCCAAGTTTGCGCCCTTCATCGGGATGGTAAGCGCTCGCCGCTCAATAAAAGGAGATTCTGGCCTTAGCTGACTGACACGCTTAATCTAGGGCGGCATTGCAGCTGCAATGATATTTGGGTGTACGACTTCTTCGCCGAATTAACTCCTAATCCTCCGATTTCTTCGACTTTGCTAAATTTATATGGACTATTAGCTATCGGTGCTGCCTATGGAACAGCTAAATCAGGCATCGGTATTGCCGGCGTTGGCACCTTTCGACCGGACCTCATCATGAAGGTGGGCGCCTGAACTATCATGGACCTTTGAACCATAGACTCATTGACCATATCTTAGTGCCTGATTCCAGTCATCATGTCTGGTATCTTAGCAGTCTACTCTCTTGTTATTGCCGTCCTCATCGCAGAAGATCTCGCCGCCCCCTCCGCAAAGAGCTACAGTCTTTTCACGTTCGTCGAGTCGATCAACCCGGAGCTTACCTTATGATACATGCTAACATACGGCTCAGAGGTTTTATGCATCTTGGATGTGGCATATCTGTAGGAATGACCGGACTGGCAGCTGGATATTGCATCGGCATCGTTGGCGATAACGGAGTTCGTGCCTTCATGGCACAGTCTAGGATATTCGTTGGCATGGTTCTAATTCTTATTTTTGGCGAAGTATTGGGCCTTTACGGGTACGCAATCGACTCTGTTCATTCTATTTTATCTAAGCTAATTTTCCCTCCTTACAGGCTCATCGTTGCCCTTTTGCTCAACACGAAGAGTTGAGTTCGGTTTTTCCGAGACGAGTGCGTTTCACAGTTACGGATTTTACAACTAAATGGCTCCGATCAGCGTGTTCCATATTCATTGGGTTTTCTCTAGACGTCGGACGTGTTAAGGGGGTGTCTTTTTTCTATTTTATTGCCACGCGCTTTGTAACATGACGAAACACGTAAATACTGTGTTCAGATTCTGCTTTTTTTGTTCAGGCCATGGTAATGTATAACAAATCTCTCATCCACTCCTGGGGACTGTTAAAGGTGGCTTCTCTCTTCATAAAGCACTAGTAATGCAAAGATAAAAATCAAAACCGCTAGTAGGCACATATCATTGTTTTCATCTCTCCGTACACTATAAACGAGGTATCCAGCCATATATAAGCCAAGGAGGAACGTCAACGTATGAGACGGGTTACAAAGCAAGCGATATTCAAGATTGACAGCGATGGGTACTACTTTCAAGATGAGCAATGAGAGTGGCGGTGCTTATCATCGTGGTAGCCGTCCACCGATCCGCCCTAATAACGTTCTCTGTCGATTTTGAGCTGCCTCTTGTCGAAATCGAGTCGAAGGTCTATCTCTTTCTTCCCGTGTCTTCATCTGGGCCAACATCCAGTCCCACTGCTTATCCTCTTCTCTCAACATGCTCTCATTAACCTCGCTGGCAATCCTTCGCCGGCGAGCTTCAGCAGCGGCTTGCTCACCGACCAAGTAGGGATCTTCTAATGGGCGAAGAGGGGTCTCTCTACTATCATTTTGCCGAGTTATCGCAGAGTCTCGCATGACAACCATCAATTCCGCAGCTGCAGCCTGAAGCCATCTGTCTGTAGCCCGCCTCTCTGCTACATTGCGGTAGTGGCGGGCCGCCGGTGCGTTATTGGCCGACCACGTAGGGATCCGGTAATTGTGAGTGTTTAAGGCACTTGGTGAAGCAAGCGGCGGAAGCGGCGGTAGTCCAATAGTCTGCCTCCCGGGCAGATCATTTTGTGTTCTGGAGGCGTCTCTCCGTGATGTCGTCCCTGCCACTGCGGCCGCATATGATGGAAGAGCTTCGCTATGCGTCGTCCTAGAGCGGTATGAAGGTACCTCTGAGACTGTTCTTGGCGTTAGTGTTTTAGACGCTCCATATTCCGAGGCGCTCACCGCCAATGGACGTCGCCAGGCTATGAATCGTAATCACTATGTAGCTTCACATACCATAAGAGGGAGCTGCAGAGTGAACTGAGGCTGTATCAAAGTCGTCTGCGCTATACCGGGGCAGAGAGGCTAATCCTGTCATGATGGCGGTGACGCAGTAACCAAACAGTACAGAATCTTTTGGATCAAATCAAAGCGACTCCAGGATAAAATATATCGAGTCTTTCAGCTAGATTTGCACGAAACTGATACTTGTGCAAAGGCTGCTAGATAGATAGTCGGCGAACACTATATAGGAGCAATAGAAGCAATGCCTATACAACACCAAAATGATGACGGATTGTATGTTATCAAGCTATTACGACAACACAAGCGACGAGGCTCAAAGACGAAGCAAGGTAATATTATTTGTTAAAAGCTCCAATAACCATCGTTTGAGAGTATCACTGATCATGGCATAGATAAAGATGACGAGAGTCAAAGGCGCCTCAATAGCCTAGCCAAAGGGGTAGATATGCTACTTATGTTCCCATGCATACCGGCGACTCTCACAGACAAGCCGCAAGCGACGAGAATCGGCACGCGACTGGCTCTCCGCAGATAATATTGGGGCGGGGAGCACGACTATGGCGGAGCAAATCTTGGCATTTTGCATAGAGCCGAGAACCTACATGATGATACTAGTGCGAGGCTCCGGCGCCTAAAAGAATTTACGCCTTTTTGGGCTTTCTGCAGGCACTCCTTGCTCTGTCGAGAACAGATTAAGTGCGGCTTAGACTACAAGTAACTTCCCCGACTTGAGCTGCAGCCGTCAGCCTCTTAGGCTATCTCGGAGCCGCCTTATCTGACCCCCCCTACGCTGCCTGTGCAAAATGACTAATCTACCTGTATGGAGCATTTTACTTAAGTACTTACTATAGGTAACAATAAACGCCTATTTTCTTATTAATATTTATAAAATAAATAATATGAAATATATTTACTATATTTACTATATTTATTAACTAATATATATATAAATATTTATAAATCTTAGTCTTTTTTTAATATAAGAATATAAGTTATTATTATTATATATTCTTTCTTTTTCTTACATTTTTTGCCTAAGTAAAAAAAATCTAAAGTTATGTAATAAGCTGCTAAAAGTAGTTAAGCTAGCGCAATGATAAGGTACATTAATTTATATGTAAATCTACTGGAAGATTGGAGTACTCTTGCTTTTAGCGCCATTTACACAGGTAGGTTCGTCATTTTGCACAGGCAATGTAGGGCGATCGCCTTATCTCAGCAAGTCCAGACGCTGGATAGTAATCTTACCCCGGATACAGCGAAATCTGAGCCTTGGGATCTTCAGCAGAATATTAGGAATGCTACTACCCTATAGATAGAGCAAGAATCAGCCTCATCCAGCAGCGCCTTGTATTATCGCGGGTGGTCCGTTTTAAATATGGAAAGTTCTAAAGAATGAGGATTGTCCTTTTACAAACGAAGGGAATGGACTTGCTTGTACTGCGAGATAATGATGCTTCATAAGGTGGGGGAGTTTTGTGTTGCAGGCCAAGGAGCTATTGCTGGAGGAATTGCCCTCGTAGTATTGGCCACTGGCTTGTTATAAACGTCTGGTATTGTAAACTTGTTTACAAGCTTGTAATTTAACTTTAGCAGAACTGCATGAGCTTTTCGATAGCATGATAGCAGCCAGTAGAAATGCAGAGCACTTTTGGTTTGCAGATGGTACCTACCAAGCACTAATGGGGCCAAAGCGGCCGCAGGCCATTAACACGCCCTACCGCGTAAAGAGTCTCGGAAGGCGCGTTCTGCCCCGTCACCTTTGATTTCTGGGCGCCTATCGCTATCTGCGTGCACATGGATTCTCCAAACTGCTCTGTTGCCAAATAAACAAGAAGCTCCCGTTGTCACCTGATTCGCAATCATGGTGCAATCATGAAAGACATTCTTTAACTATTCTCCAAATACCACTATGACAATTTCCACCTGCAGCCATGTCAGCACGGCGCACAGGATCTTCAGATTCTGAGTCTGATGGCTCGCGCCGCCAACCACTACGTCGAGAGAGCTTGGTGATGAGGCAGAGAGAAGATCCGCAAGTGCAGTCGAGCACCAAGCGAAAGCGTACTGACACGACTTCTGGGGGCGCGCGGAATTCCCAACGAGCGATAGGCAACGGCGAAAATGAGCACGATAGCGACTCAGACGATGTTTACGACCCAGATCAACCACTAGAAGAAAGAAGAAAGGTTCAGCAGGGATTTCGTGACCTTCTTCGAAACATCACAGAGAATAGCGAAGAATATCTACAAGGCGACTCTCATGGCCTGCATGAGACCATTTTGCGGGCCAACGAGCTGTCCAAGCAAGTTCGACAGACGACTGAAGCCACCATTGATTCACGGCTGCTTGTCAGCACTACCGACCTTTCATACCGCAAGACCTTGAGGCTCACTCAAGGCAGCCTGTCGCAAGGAATCGACGGAGACGATTTTATTTCCAAGTGCATCGCATATATGCGAAATGGTGGGGGAATTGCCAATGACCAATCCCTAGAACTTTCGAGCACCCAGAGGCAACGACGGCGAACGGTGAATGATAGAGCACACGAGGATGATAGCGGGGATGTAGGAGATGAAGGAGACATGATGAACTGGGCTCATCTCGGCCATTTCGCGTGCTTGCCATATGTCAGGCGGCCTGCGCTGCCCGGCTTTCTTCTTGGTCCATTATCGGTCGAAAAGAAGGCGCGCAAGGCAGCAAAGCGGAGTGCCCCGTTTCGTCCAAATAGCCTAACAGAAACAAGACCCGAAATCCTCAATGTCGATGATCTCGCTAAGAAGGAGAATGATCTGACTGTTATTTGCGGGAAAATACTTCAGCAACTCTACAAGATCCAGGCCAATGCCCAAGAAACAGTCGCAGACCTGATCACAGATGATATGGAAGAGGATGAAACAACCCGGCTTATGCACGAGCATGGATTACGGAGCACAGGTGGTATTGACTTGATGAGATTTGTGGTCAATCCCAAGTCGTTCGGACAAACTATTGAGAATCTGTTCTACGTGAGCTTTCTTATCCGAGATGGAAGAGTGGAAATAAATTTCGACGAAGATGGTCTCCCCGCATTAGGTAAGTACCGCATTAATGCAAATTACAATGGTAGTTCTTGATACTGACACCACTTTCAGCACCGGTAGATCGAGATGGAGATGATGCTGGAGTTATTCGTCAGTCGACTTCTAAGCATCAGGCTATTTTATCGATGGACATGGAAACTTGGCAAGACATAATTGATACCCTAGGCCTTGAAGAGCCCATGATCGAACATCGTCAGGAGTTGTCCGCTACCGGCCCCGGAGCCAGAGGTTGGTACGGCTAGACAGCCATTGTATACCTCAAAATAGCTGAAAGGAGTCTTTGACTATTCATTCAAAAAAAAAAAATTAAAATTCACTGCATCTAAATTTAGAAAGGAGGTGCCCAAAATCTTGACCAGACAAAGACTAGGCCTGCTGTATACGCGTATCACGGACTGTCTTTCATCCCATTCCCTGCTGTATAGGCCAATCTGGTTGGCTGTGATCAAAGAAGGAGAGGCGCTCTTTTGACCTTTGACAGAGTTGCATCGCATAGAAAATCTGATGTGGAGAAAACTTGTGAGCAACAAAGAAACAATTGAAAATGCTTTGGATTCATACTCCTTCATTGAGGAATGTAGTTTCTTCCTTGGCATCTGCTGACCTTGAGAATTGATTTCCACCTTCCTATGGAGCTGAGTGTGGATTTGATAGATGCTATAAAGTCAGTTTTAACGCCCGTAGTCTATGTCTCACGACCTCTACCTTTATTCTATTTACTCTCTCAACAATAGAAGCGTTTGGTTTACCTTTGGCTCTCTCTGTCCCCGTATCCCTTTAGTTGTCTATCATCTCTTCTAGCTGACCCTTTTGATCGTATCGAATTGCTACTTGGGAACCTTCTTTTTCTCCGATACTAGTCCTTGGATCACAACTATGTCGAAGCGTGCGCCCCCTCCTCCGCTGGACATTCCGCCATCAGAACCATGGGAAAATCTTGCGCCTGCCCAGTTTGGCAAAGAGATGACGCTACCTGTTCTACCTCGCAAAGCTAGGAAAAAATTGACACCAGGGGCTACAGTCGAATGGAACGAACAGATCAGCCCTGTAGCAGCAAAGAAACCTGTTTTGGAAGATATTGGTGACGATGAGAGCACTTCGCCAGCACAGGCATCTACAACGGAAATGCCCGACTTCATGGACGAAACCGGATCACCAATGGAGAGCCCCGCTTTCATGACCGATGAGCAAAGCCCTGGGATCGAAGACAGTGATAGATCTCCATGTTTGTCGGATCTTGGTGCAGAGGCATTGGTCTACGGCAAGCATCGCTCAGCCGCCGATGAGCTTTCAGGTGACATGTTCGGCAGTGATAGCGAGTCTGGGAGTGAACGCAACGCGTCTTTCCGTGAATACGACACTGAAGCTGAAGCAATGTACACGAACAAGTCTAAGGCGAGTGATTTCGTTGGTGACTCAGCGGATGATAGTGCACGCGATATTGCGAATCATACGGCCGAACCTACTTTCGAAAGCAAGAACAGCCAGCATAAGAACCAGGAGCCAAATATTTCGCACAAAGATTATCAGGAATACATGAAATTGAAGGAGGATATTGTCCAAGAACGCCTACGCATGGAAAACGAGCGCATGCTCATGAAGGAGCAAGTCAATTTGCAACGCATACAGATGGAGGACGAAATGGCTCAGCAACGCAAGCAAATCGATCAAGACCGTGTACAACTGGAAGAGCAAACGGCCCAGCAATGCGAACAGCTGAAAGAGCAAGTCGATCAAGAACGCATGCGCTTGGAACAGGAAATCGCCCAAGAACGCAAACAAATCAATGAAGACCGCATACAATTGGAAGAGCAAACGGCTCAAAATTGCAAGCAAATCGAAGAGCTTGAACAAGAACGCAAGCAAATCGCTCAAGACCGTACACAATTAGAAGAGCAAACGGCTCATAATTGCAGACAAATGAAAGAACAAGTGACTCAAAAGTGCAAGCAAATGGAAGAGCAAGCGGCTCAAAGATGTATACGGTTGGAAGCGCAAGCGACTCAAAAATGCAAGCTAATGGAAGACCACGTTGATCAAGAACGCATACGCGTAGACAAGCAAATCGACCAAGAACGCAAGCAATTCGATCAAGAACGTATACAATTGAAAGAGCAAACGACCGAAAAGTGCAAGAAAATGGAAGAGCAAGCGGCTCAACGATGCACGCAAATGGAAGAGCAAATCGATCAAGAGCGCAAGAAAGCTGATCAGGAACGCAAGCAAATGGAAGAGAAAATCGATCAAGACCGCAAGCTAATGGAGGTCCAAGTCGATCAAGAACGCATACGATTGGAAGCGCAAACGGCTCAAAAATGCAAAGGAGGCGAAGAGCAAGCAGCTCAGAAGTGCAAGCAAATGGGAGAACAGACGGCCCAAAGATGTACAGAGATCGAAGAGCAAATGGCTCAAAAGCGCAAGCAGATAGACGAGCAAATCGAACAAGATCGCAAGCAAGTTGAACAATATCGCCAGCAAGCTATTCAAGAATGCAGGCAGATGGAAGAGCAAATTGATCGGGAGCGCAAACAAGCTGATCAAGAACGCAATCAAGTTATTCAAGAGCGCCAGAAAATGGAAGAGCAGTTCGATGACGAACGCGAAAAAGTTGACCAAGAACGTCAGCAAATGAAAGTGCAAATCGATCAGGATCGCAAGCAAATTGATCTAGAACGCATACAAATAGAGCAAACCGCTCAAGAGTGTAAGCGAATGAAAGAGCAAATCGGTCAGGAACGCAAGCAAAACGATGAGGAACGCAAGCAGATTGATCAAGGACGTAAGCAAGCTGATCAAGAGCGCATGGAAATGGAAGAGGAACTGGCCCAAAAGTACAAGCAGATGAAAGAGCAGTTCGCCCAAGAACGCAAAGAAAAGGAAGAGCAAATAGATCAAGAACGCAGGCAAATGGTAGCGCAGACGGCTTTGCTTCAACAGACGATTGCAATATTGGAGACCCAGAGCTCCCCGTTCAAGGATAAAACAGCAGCGTGTGTTGATGCTGGCATGGACTCCGAAACGCACAATGGGCAAGGAGCCGACATACAAAGCTGTATACTACAGCCATCGCCATCTCAATTGGGTTTATCATCAACAGCTTCTCATCCCGCGCAGACGCCCATAGCTGAAATCCGTGGGGCATGCCTTGACTTCTATGATGAATGTCAATCGGCATCGCCAATAGAGGTACCGTACTTGTTCATAAAGCTCATAAGGTGTATCTTTTCACGCATAGCAACTCCGTTGTGTTGCTTCATAAACCTTTTCTTATTAGTGCAAACGCACATGGAAAAGCAGATATGGATATCGGCCAACTCTACAACTCGAAAGCATCTGCTAGAGCATCCAGTTGCAGAATTACCACTATGGGAGCTATTGGTTGTAATAGGGGCTTTGACAGTCACATCTTGAAGAAGAAGAATGGTATTGGCGGTAGGATACCTTGCAATGGTTTTTCGGGCGCAGTTCATTGGTAGTATTACTCAGTTTCAATTCTAATGTTATTGGTTTCTCGTATCTATAAAAGAATCCTGTTGCCAATGCTCTGTTGTCGGCACTCAAGTGCGTAAGTACAAGTACATGGACAGAAAATAGAGTGCGCCTGGCTCCTCATCAGATCGAGCGGGCGGAGTAATGTGTACACAGCTTAGCGTGCAATAAGTATGGGATATCAAGTATCCGAACTGGCGTCTTCTGTTTCTGCACCCCGCGACTTTCGGCTGCTTAGTACAGGATACTTGTGGCATGGGTATACGCATAAACGGAAGGTCGATGTTTGTAAACATTGAATGCATCTCGTCTTGAACCAGGCAAGTTCAAATCATGGACAACCAAAATAAAGTTTGTTGGAGTTTTACTCTTCTTCTCTTGACTATATAACTATCGATTCCTGAAAAGTTGCTTGATCTCAGTTCTTGAGTCTGAACTGCGCTGCAGTATCATGTCTTAAAACCTGTGTAGAGAACAAGTGCATCATCAATGAAACACCGTGTTTGCAGCAAAGGACCAAAAGGACGTAGAGCCCTGCTAGCCGGAAAGATACGGAGGCAACAGTGGTTTCCACCTAGTCTGCGAGTTTAGCTGGAAATCTCTCAGTCTCTTGGGTGGGTGAACGGATCGATGGGGAATGGGGTCCGTCCAAGGCCGAAAGGCCAATCCTAGCGGCTGCACGTGACCCGGAAGAAAGCTCTGACTGGAGTAGTCGCTGTCCCGACCAAAACTGCTCATTTTGAAAACTTCTCCCGGCCTTAACCAACTCATTTGCATATCCATCGCTGATTGCTCTCTGTCATCTGCCAAGATGTTCAAGAGGTGAGTAAAGATACCTCAATTTGGTGTTTTCAGCTTTTCCACTCCCACCCATATGCGAATTGAGCCTTTTCTAACTGCGTTGCCCCCCCACAGCGGCATTTCGTCCCTCGCCAGGGCTGCCCGCCCATCCTTTGCCGCTCGACGAGCTCTCCGACCAGCCTCTCTCCGATTCCCCTCTGCCATCAGACTCGCCAGCACCCAGAGCGTCGGAGATGGCAAGATCCACCAGGTAGGCTGAGCTTACAGGAAAGACTCAATGGTGGGATTTGCGGCTAACAGCAGTTCTAGGTTATCGGTGCCGTCGTTGACGGTTAGTGAAAATCCCTGCGCTTTTTTTTTTATATTCGCTCGCGGAACGCCATATAGCGGTATTAAGCAGACAACTGATTATGCTACAGTCAAGTTCGACACTGCCAAGCTGCCTCCTATCCTGAACGCCCTGGAGACGACCAACAACAACCAGAAGCTGGTTCTCGAGGTTGCTGTAAGTAGACAATGCGGGACGCCCCAAAAGTAACTCATCTGACGTCTCGTCTAGCAACACTTGGGTGAAAATGTTGTTCGTTGCATTGCTATGGACGGTACTGAGGGTCTCGTCCGTGGCGCCAAGGCCTCTGACACTGGTGCTCCCATTACCATCCCCGTCGGCCCTGCCACTCTTGGCCGTATCCTGAACGTCACTGGTGACCCCATTGACGAGCGAGGACCTGTCAAGACTGACAAGTTCCTGCCTATTCACGCCGACCCCCCTTCTTTCACTGACCAGTCCACCTCTGCCGAGATTCTGGTCACTGGTATCAAGGTCGTCGATCTGCTCGCTCCCTACGCTCGTGGAGGAAAGATTGGTCTCTTCGGTGGTGCCGGTGTCGGCAAGACCGTCTTCATTCAGGAGCTGATCAACAACATCGCCAAGGCTCACGGTGGTTACTCCGTCTTCACCGGTGTCGGCGAGCGTACTCGTGAGGGTAACGATCTGTACCACGAAATGCAGGAGACCTCCGTCATTCAGCTTGATGGCGAGTCCAAGGTCGCTCTGGTTTTCGGTCAGATGAACGAGCCCCCGGGAGCCCGTGCCCGTGTTGCCCTGACTGGTTTGACCATTGCCGAGTACTTCCGTGACCAGGAAGGCCAGGATGGTAAGCTTATTTGCGATAATTTGCTCTCATCTTGATAGTGTTTTTGGCTAACATGTCATTCACAGTCTTGCTCTTTATTGACAACATTTTCCGATTCACTCAGGCCGGTTCTGAGGTGTCTGCTCTGCTGGGTCGTATTCCCTCTGCCGTCGGTTACCAGCCCACCCTCGCCGTCGACATGGGTGGTATGCAGGAGCGAATCACCACCACCAAGAAGGGTTCCATTACCTCCGTCCAGGCTGTCTACGTCCCTGCTGACGATTTGACTGATCCTGCCCCCGCCACCACCTTCGCTCACTTGGACGCCACCACTGTCTTGTCCCGTGGTATCTCCGAGTTGGGTATCTACCCCGCTGTCGACCCTCTTGACTCAACATCCCGTATGCTTGACCCCCGTATCGTCGGCCAGGAGCACTACAACACCGCCACCCGTGTCCAGCAGATTCTCCAGGAGTACAAGGGTCTCCAGGATATCATTGCCATTCTGGGTATGGACGAACTTTCTGAGGCCGACAAGCTTACCGTCGAGCGTGCCCGAAAGATCCAGCGTTTCCTCAGCCAGCCTTTCACCGTCGCCCAGGTTTTCACTGGTATCGAGGGTGCTCTCGTTGACCTCAAGGACACCATTGCCTCCTTCAAGGCCATCCTCAACGGTGAGGGTGACAGCCTGCCCGAGGCTGCCTTCTACATGGTTGGTGACCTTGCCTCAGCCAAGGCCAAGGGTGAGAAGATTCTGGCGGAGTTGGAGAAGAACTAAAAAGGCTTTAGCTAGCTTGTCCCAAGAGCTGGGGAATAGTAAGCCTGTGTATAGACTAGTATAGTAGTAAACAGCTATTTGATAGTAAGATTTTCTTCAAACATGCTATCCGCGGGCTATATGTACAATAGCTGGGACATTTACAACTATTAATATATAAAAAAAAATCGTATTAAAGTTATCTTGAGTAAATGTGTCATGTGTGTCTTTTTGTCTTTTATACTTTATTAAAGCTATAACTAGTATATGATTGAGATAAAGAGTCACTGATGGCAACAGTAGATCAGTTTTGTATTGCAGCTTTAGGTCAGCTTAGCTGCAGAGCATAGTCTATGAGATTCTTTTGGGGCGAAATGCTCTCCATGTCTCCGAGTATGACTCTAGCAAGCTGTGTGCTGTCTGTTGTATGAAGAGCTGTGAAAGGGACTCGCATATACTCATACCATTCCAGGGTAACATATTTGCAGATGTCTCGTATTGTGCGGTCTCCGATGCCTTCTACCCACCATACTTCTGCCTGAACTAGCTTGAAGAAGGTTGCAAAATAAGCAAGAATTACCAGCGCGCGCGGCTGTAAGCTGCGAGCTATATCAATGAATTCTCTAGGGACAAAGGTGAATATCGTTATGACTCTTAGACACATCAGGTTAGAAGGGCCTTCCGCCAAGTCCATGTACAAACTGCCCATGTATTTCAACGTCTGGTCATATGCATCCTTGAAAGAGTAGTCGAGATCGCCTGGCTGGATGGCGGAAATCATGGTGAGAAGTTTCTCCGGGATGAAAGAGGCGGATTTCTCAATGTCTATACGAGGCCGGAAGAATAGAGACCACATGCCGGATTCAAGAATAGTAGACTTGGAAACAAGGTTGATCACGAGGACGATGCCTTTCCATACAACGAGCCAGTCGAGAATATAAAGGTCTTTGCCATCGGCCTCCCTGAAGTTCTGGGATGATAACGCAGTTATAAGTAGAGAGTTTGCCAGCAGGGCAGGGAAGTCTACTGGATTGGCTTCCTCGATTGCCTTGCGATATCCCGCCAGGGACCTGACTCGATATGTCAGGGCACGCTGCGCATCGAATTGCTGGTTCAGCTGCATCATGTGCAAGCTGGAGAGGGCGAAGATGGTGTCCATCAGAAAAGGCGATTCGGATCCGTAGCGGACGAGCAGGCTTCTCATGATTGACCGGTGCCCTTCATTGCCCAATGTAGAGAAGGAGCCGCATGTCTGGGTCGCATAGAACCAGAGGGCTTTCATGTCCGCCATGTCGATTCCGGTCGGGAGGAAGAGTAATTCGATGGGTATGGGCGGAGTCTGGCCATTGTATTTGTCCGCATATGCGAGTATGGGCGCCGAAAACAAGACGGACGACGTCGAGGCTATGTCGGAGATGCCAGTCGCGGAGGCGGCTGCAGACTTGAGCTGCTGTGGGGATGACGATTGTTGCGATGAAGAGGAAGTCGCTTCAATGGACTGCTGCGTCTTCTGAGGGTACAGGTAGACGCAATCGGCCTGTCTCAGCTTACATGATCGACAGGTTGGCCTCGACTCGTCGCATTTGACTTTGCGCGCCTTGCAGTTTTGGCAGCCGGACCGGGACTTTTTGTGAGGGCGCTTCGCATGGTAGGGCTTCGGCGGTGATATGCCGTCTTTCACCCCGGGAGCGGGAGCAGGAGCTGGAGCTGGAGCTGAACTGTTATCGAGCGGTGTCTCAGCCATAGTGCCCGGCGAAGAAGCGCCCTGTTAGACATTGCATGTGGGATGGTTATGCACGAGCAACAATGACTGCGTGCCGCTGTGAGGGAGAGAGAGGCTGCTTGGATGACGGCGTTGGATTAGCCTGGCCTGGCGCAAGATGCCTACAGCAGGATGCGATACCCGCTGTTGATTCGTTGCAGCAGCTGTATGGATGTACCTCTTGGATGTACCCGGAGCACCCTAGCACGCATATCGCGAATTTTGAATTTTTTGCGCTGTTATTAGCGCAATATGCGACAATCAAAATCTATGCAATCAAAGAAATTGACAACAACTGAAGAAGAATGCGTTAGAAGAGAGTATGAATAGAAGAACCGTACTAGAAATTTCCGGGATATGCAATTTTATAATAGATTGGACATTAACAGCGACCACCAAGTGCACTGATGTAGGTATTTGAATCACATGGTTCCCATTTTTCGGCGTTGCGTAGATACCAAGGCCTACTAATAATCTTCCGGCCATTGGCTGTCTTAGACTCGCTTTACATAATATAGCTGCTTAGAGTCAAGATACTTGCACTAATCGCTCCATACTCCAAACAGCTTAAACTCAAGTCGTATGATTTTCTAGCCAAAAGGCCGTACCGAGCACGGCAATTAAATCCCCTCGCTGCTGCACTACCCACCGAACAACCACCGGCAAACGAACGACGCTGCCACGTCCTCCCAATTGAACCTCCGCCGAAGCTCGTCGAACCCCCAACGTCCAAAATGCTTCGCTCCATGGTCCTGCGAGGCAATGCCTTGACGCAGAGCACCCGGCTGGCGTCCCGCGCCATGTCCACCCAGGCCCTGTCCAACCCGACCCTCAGCAACATCGAGAAGCGATGGGAGGGAATGCCTCTCCAGGAGCAGGCCGATCTCTGGATGGCCCTGCGCGACCGCATGAAGGGCAACTGGAAGGAGTTGACCCTGCAGGAGAAGAAGGCCGGTAGGTGACGCTGCTGCTGTTGAAAGTTTTTTGTGTCGAAATTCCCGCCGGGGGGGCACGAAAAGAGCTTTGCCGAGCTGCTCTCGCCTTGTCCGGAACGGCAGCACTTGGGAGGCTATGGATCTACATTGGGCTTGGAGAAAAGATTGATTGGAAAGCTCTCTCTTTGGATTGCGGTGGATTTCGAGCATCAATCGAAAGGAGCTGAGCTGTTTGCTGTCATTTCTTTGATCGGGCGAAGTGGGGTTCATTCATGATCCTTGAAAAGAGCTGCCGTCAACATGGCATATGCCACACAACTCGCATCACGTTTCTTTGTTGTTGTCTTTTTTTTTTTTTTTTTGCCATCCTTTGCTCAAGCAGCTGCTAACCAGAGTCGTTTCATGCAGCATACTGGATTGCTTTCGGTCCTCACGGCCCCCGTACCGCTGACCCTCCCGGAACTGGCGCCCGCGTTGCCTGGGGCGTTGTCATCGGCCTGGCCTCCAGTCTCGCTCTCTTCGCCGGTATCCGAATGGCCGCTAAGCCTGCTCCTCACACCATGAACAAGGAGTGGCAGGAGGCTACCAACGAGTACCTCAAGGTAAATATTTGTCCCCCAGCGTCTTCTTTGACATTGCTTCGATCTTGATATTGGACATGGCTAACTCGTTGAAATAGTCTCAAGCCGCCGATCCCCTTACTGGTATCTCCTCTCCCGGATATACCGGCAAGGGTGTTATTCAGTCTCCTCCCAAATCACAGTAAAAGAAAAACACGATGCTGTCGCTCAATGCTTCGCACTATTGGAGCGGGCACTGGGGGGCTTTGTCAATTGATATTTGTACATGTATAGCTTAGTCTTAGAGAGTATGCAAGACAGGGTTCTCGCATGGCGTTGATTGCTCAAGTGACGAGTTCAAAAATGTTGGTACATGAGAAGCCAGTTGTGTTTTGATATATTGCACCCCTTTCTTCAACGTTGCCCAGTGAAGATGGCGCCATCAATCTGCAAAGAAATAATGTCCTGGGCATCTTTCAAAGCATCGTCACACATTTTTTGCTATTCGGAAAGCCACGTCTCCATGTGCTTGACTAGTTTCACCCCGTACCTTCATCTGCTTGCCCCAGTCTTTCCGGTGAGTGCTGTGGGTTGTATGAGTCGAGCTGCTCTTCTTGTAGTCGATCAATGAGCTCATGTCGACCGTCTTTGCCCCAGTAAGCCGCTTTCTCAAACCCCTTGACGCAGGCTTCGGTGATGAGGACATATGGTGTTGGAGCATCAAACATTGGCTCGGCTAAAACACGTTCCATCTCCATCTTCAGTCCTCGTGCGCCCGTTTCAGCTGTAAGAGCACGCTCTGCAATTGCAGTCAATGCTTTGCCAGTAAAATATAGCTGAGTTGGATATGTTTCAAACAGGGCAGTGTATTGGGCTACCAGGCTGTTGCGTGGCTCTGTTAAGATTCGAAACAGATCTTCTTTGGACAGAGGACTGAGAGCACAGATATTATGTAACCGGCCTATAATCTCAGGAATGAAACCAAACCGTTGCAGATCATCAGATGTTACCAGATCTATCGGCGTAAAGGAGGATGCCGATCGTGGGCTATAATGAGCCAAATGAGAGTATATTTCGGGTGGCAAAACATGAGCATTTCCAGGTCCGGCATGGCGACTTTGAAGGTCTCCCCCGAATCCCATGGCTGGTTTCGTAACTCTCTGGAGGATGATCTTGTCCAGTCCAACAAAAGCACCGCAGAAGACGAAGAGGATATTAGTGGTGTCAATGGTGTATTGGTCCACCTTACCTGGAGGGCTGTTAACTGGTAGTGTGGGAGTTGGAGCTCCAGATGCATTGTAATTTGTAGGGATTTGCGTGGTCGCACGCGATGAGCGATTGTCCTTAACATTGATGGTAACTTTTGTGCCTTCAATGAGCTTGAGTAAGGCTTGCTGGACACCTTCGCCGCTTACGTCTCGACCTGTCGTCGTTTCTCTCCTCGCCAGCTTGTCGAATTCGTCAAGAACAACTATTCCATGTTCTGTGGCCTTCACGTCATAATTGGCTTCTATGAGAAGCCTTTCAATGCAGGACTCCACATCTTGCCCTATATAACCCGCTTGAGTCAGGGAGTTACAGTCGCAGATGGTGAGCGGCACCTGGATCTTTTTGCTTAGAGTTCTGGTATTTCTCGTCAGCAAAATGTAAAGGCTAGAGTCGTTGGGGCATTTGCTTCTTACTCTAGGATATATGTCTTACCCACACCCGTCGGCCCAATCACGAGGATGTTGCTCTTGTCGATTTTGATATGCTCAGGAATCCCCGGCTCTTCTGGTTTGAAGATGGGAGCTGCTGAATTTGCCTCGGGCACGCATAGCTCAGGTATCTGACGAGCCGCGGAGCTTTGTGGAATATTTTCCTCTTGATAGACTGTGTTACCGATAGAGACCTTGATATCCGCGAGTGGCCAACTCACCTTCGACAGGAAGACTATCCCAGCGCCTCTGAGATAGCTCCCTCTCGCGTGCGAAACGCTGGCGCATCAATTTCTCATGCTTCTCCTTGTCTTCTTGTTCGTGCTGGCGCCGCCTCTTCAAATTCTGGTAGTGGTTGAAGATGGCAGAGCATATTGTCTTTTTAGCACGGTCCTGGCCCACGACATAATCGTCCACACGTCTCTTCAAATCACGGGGATAAAACTGCGGCACTCCGAAATTTACTTTTCTGAACATTGGGCCACGGCCAGCCTCCACTGTGGGATCATAACTCCTGGTGAAGCCCGAAGTGAAGTCCGGCGTCTGTTTAGATCGGAGACATGTGTACACTGAGAGATACCGGCACTGGCGCCCTGCTTGAGCGGTGACATCCCTGTGCTTCTGAATGGAAGAGATCCAATGAGGGAGAGAACGCCGCCGGCATAGCGACATCATTGTGAAACTGAGGCACACGATAGGAGACGTCTTGGAGATGGGAATAGCTACCGCAAGAGTCCAGGCGGAGGATGGTAGATTATGGGTGTTGCAGCTCAGTCAAATCATCGCATAAGGGGGTCAGCTATATTAAGAATAAGGCAAAGGCGGTCCGCAGATTCCACGTTATTGAGTGTTCAAGGCCTGTTGATGGGAATCGATTATCCTCTAGATGAACTGTCTCAAGCACAGCAGAAGGGTCAGTTGGTTTTATTGAAGCAATATGGATGAATATCAGATGAGATTGAGCCTAGGGCGCTGACTAGGAATAAGCAATCCCCCAGAGCTTTAGATCAGCAGGTCGCGCAACCAATCAAACCAGCCTGTAGCTGTTGCTTCTACGGCACTGTCCTCCGTAAACGGCGGGCACCTCTTAAGTTCATGCACCACCGGTAACTACATGTGCCCGTATAAGTCATTCAACGGGGCATTTCGTTTATCCAGCACGGAGGTCGGACATCCTGAGATAAGGCATTCAATAAAGCACTTGCTCCATACTAGTAGCTGACGGATGTCAGATGTTGTGTCACAGCAGGTGAATGAGATTCATTCTCATTCCAGTTAAGTCAATGCGGCAGCTTTCTACATTATATCTAAGGAGCGACAAAACGGGAAAGCAAAAGAGAAAGGAAAAATAAAAGAACAAGAGAAACAGCAGGTGCTGTGGCTCATAATTTATGGAGGCACAGACTCGACCATCTGTCTTCACATGATGTCAGAAGCTTGACTCTCCGTGGAAACTCCGCGGAAAATTTCTCAACCTTGAGCCATCCCCCAGTGCCCATGGACCTAAGCTGCAGCTGCGACCTTATTCCATGGACTCTCCTGTAGTAAAATTGTTGGATTAACCAACCGAAGGATATTCTAAGATGGGTCGGCAACCGAGACAACGTCCAATTTCGTGCCACCTGTGTAGGGTACGAAAGCTACGCTGCAGTCGCCAGTTTCCGTGCTCCAACTGCACGTCTCGCGGCGTCGTCTGCCAACATGAAGGCGTTGCGGTCACGGCAGCTGCGGCAGCGAGCCAGCAGCAGGTAAAATCGCCTGTCATGAAAGACATGTCCACGACGGACCTCCTGGCCCGTTTAGAGCGCCTGGAGAGCATCGTTGCGGCCCAGGGGAGGGAGAGGACGGAGCCGCCCCCGAGCCAGAGAGAAACGCCCAAGAATGAGTCTGAGAGATCAACGCATCCAAGCCCTGCCACAGTCTCGCGCCCTGTGCCTCCCAGACTTCAGCGGTTAACAGCAGATGCTCTGCAGCTTGAGCGGACTTGCTCAGATCAAATATTGACGGTGAGCTCGTGAAACCCTTCCCTTGGGGACTGTCTCCCGCGTCGTAATAAGTGATGTGTGAGGCTGAGACGTCCAGCAGGACTCATTGATATCTGAACCTATTGTTTTCCGCACCTGTCCCATCCGGCTGGCCCCTAGCCAACCGTCGTACACTTTTCAAAATAACACTTTTCAAAATAACAATGCTCCCTCAATGGTAGGACCAATGGACGTTGTAAAGTGCATCTGGCTGCCGCAGCGAGATGAGATGCGCGTTATACTCCAGAAGTATATAGCTGATATTTCCTTTTTCTACCACATTGTTCATGTTCCCGCACTCCAGAGCCTGCTTGAAGATATATACGCTGGCTTAGAAGCAAACGTGCGCGTTGATGTTGGCGGCGTACTATTGCTTCTGAGCATATGTGCGAGCACAACGTATGCGTGGTCGCCCCATGACGATATCAGATGTTTATTCGCAAATCCAGCCGAAGCAAACGGCCAGTCGACATTTTGGATTAAGGAATCTCTGGATGTCATCAGCCATTCGCAAAAAACTGCTCATGCATCGCTGGAGTGTATCCAGGGCCTCATCATCCTCTTCTTTGCCTTTTGTAATCACGAGAGTGTCTCATTCCGTGCCCGTAATGTCTTTGTGTACGCTAATTCAATGGCCACGGAGCTGCTACTGCATCGCATCGATGACCCTACGGCCAGCTCAATGCCGATGATTCTTCGAATGAGCGAGGCAAAAAAGGAAATCGCCAGGCGAGTGTGGTGGTTTATGGTTGCAACTGACTGGTAAGTGTGTGGATACACAAGAATCTTAACTCCTACCTATTTTTCTGTAGGAAGTGTATGCTAATTGGCTCTCAGGACACTTGCTCAATTCAGCTGTCCACAGGAAGGGGTTTGCCTTATCCACAAGAACCAGATGGCAGTAAACAAACCACGGAATACAAATGATGAAGACATAATCGAGGGAGGAGAAATCATCGATAGACCAGAAACTGAAGCGACCTGTATGTCGTACTTTATCCATCGCATCCGCTTATCAGAGATCTGTCGAACTTTACTTGACCATACGCCTGTGGGCACACAAAGTTCCGAGTCTATAGCATACCAGGACATACTCGATGTCGACGCAGAGCTTAACCAGTTCATCCAGAACGCACCGAGCTTCTTTTCGATTGACTGCCCTAGCTTGGATGACCTTCCTGCCACAGATATTAGACGCTCATTTTTCATCACTACACAGCGCTATACGTTGAATCTGCTAGTTCACCGGCAGCTGTGCAAGATTCATCTCCCATATCTGGCTCAGGGGACCATCGATCCAGCGTACGCATATTCACGCGATGCTTGCCTGAGGTCGGCCAGAATCATTTTCGAGCTCGATCATCAGCTACAAAACGAAAATATACCCTTTTCTAAATCTCGTTTGAGACTATCGATGGTGCTGCGGAGTGTATTCCTGGCCAGCATCGCGCTCATGCTGAATGCCTGTCTCAAAGGTGATGCGGAGGACAGTGCAGAGGGAGAAGATGAGGTGGCGGGGGCATGGAAGATTCTGCATGAAGTCCAAGACCAGTTTCCTCCAGCGGCGAAATTACTGGAGCTTTCGATCAAGATTCTTCGGAAGTACAAGATTAAGCATCGTGCTCTGGATCTATTGCAGCAACAAGTCTCGAGAATATCTCCGTATAGCGACTCATTCCCCATGACACCAGAATCGACGAATCAAGAGATTCGAATGGGTTGTATGCAGCAGAATATCGGCACGGAAACCGAGAATATACTGCTGGAGCAGCATTGGCAGATGTTGGAAGGAAAGATGGACTTGAATGCAATAGATTGGGATAAGCTGTTTTGGGGTATCGACGCGCCGTTTATTTAACAAATCACTATACGTAATTGAATTTAATGATGAACAACGAAGCTTGCTGCTCGTTGCAAATGCGATACTGCTTATAAATGATGATAAATGTCTTTGCGTTAAAATTGTCAACTGTGCAATGGTATGTCTTCTCTCCAATAGTAGTTTATCGCTTTTCACGCAAAGGTTATCCTTTTTGTCTATTGATCTTATAAGTACCGTTAAAGTGCTCTACTTTAAACATACATGCGTCATTATTTGTGCTTCTGGGCCCCCCCTGGCTGCTATCTCTTCGTTGAGTCTATACTCATGCATGCTTATTAACTACAAACCTCTGACAGACAATTTTCCACACCTCTTACCTGGAGTATTTTCTTCAGCCGGTATCTCTTTAGGAGCAAATACAGGCTTGAATGTGTAAAAGCCTTGCAGTCAATTAATATCGTGTGAAATCTAGAGGAGCTTGGAGACTCGATATTTACTAACCACTCAAAACGCCGCAGAATATTGTAAGCCCAATTGGCAGCGCTCTTTGGAAGCCTCCAGCCATTTTGTATAAATACGATGACTGCCTCTATGGAAAAAATAGATATGGGAAATATGTGGTGATAGAAGGGGTTTGGCTGAGGCGATATGCCGCTGAAGTGCTGATCCGAACAGCTGCAATGCAAGTACCAACCCTCGATAGGAAGAAGTGAAATCTCCTTGAACAAATGTGGTCTGTGCATGCAGAATTTCCTTACGCTTACACCCTTTATTTTTCAAATCACGCCTACCTATGACGCCAAACTCCAGCCGCGCGCAAGAGGCCGCTACTACAATAACAAGGTGATCCCAGCAGTATATAAAGCAACATGGAGAATATCGCTCGCAAGAAGTTTATGTAGAGTTGAAAGTGTTACACTGAAGCTCTAACAGCCTTGCATGCAGCGTTCAAAACACGGTCATCCATGATTGCATGGTTTTGACTACCGACATACTAGCATCATACCCTGCCAATTCTGCGCACTGTATAGTAACAGGGTGTATCACAACCAAAGGTTTAGGCGTGAAACCAGCTCTCACGCAACTCTATTTGACTCATACGAATAAATCAGACGGCTCTTGACAAGTATGTTGGCGGCTCAAGACTATTACAATTTCAGAGCAAAATAAAAGAAACATTTCATTCCTTTCTCTCATCAGTCATTGCAAGATAGCAATCTTAAGATTACTTTTAATTGAGTTCCCCATTTTAGTGTCGTCTTCCTTGCTTGTTGGGTGGCGACTTGGCTGCGCCCAATAGGATCTCGCTTGTTGCATCACCGTCTCTCTCATCTCATCAGGCGACCGTTCCAGGTGCTGATCATCGAAAGTCTCTACTTGTGCGGCCAATAGACCAACTTGACGGGCACAGTATGGTGCAACGGCCCCTCGGTACAGCTTGCTCGCGACATTGGCAATCTGCTACTTGACCTCTACAAACCATCGTCCCGCTGGCGCTGTCGCACGAGCCTTGTTCTGCGATTTTTGATCGGCCCCTCCCCCGCTGTCTCGTTATAAGACTCGCAACCAGCCTCCTCCTTCTTGCGCGCAAGACCCTGTGCCCCGTTAGATACTTCGCCCACCTCCCAAACTTCCCTCTCTCCAGCCCATAGTACCGAGCGGAAGGACGACGCGCGCTGAGCTAATCTATTTACTGCTATTTATGAGCGGAGACCAAGCTTCTGCTTAGGGTAGCTAGCCTGGTACGCCTGTGACGCTGTCTCTGTTGCCGCCAGCCAGCTTCCCAAAACGCTAGGCGCGGAGCGCTTGTGACTTCACAGGGCGACGACACCGACTCGGACTCGAGCGCTGGGCGAGGTAGGCCCTTGACGCTTCCAAGACAAAATGCCAGTGCCGCTCCTCCACCATCCGCTCACCATCTTGCACTGAAGGCCCGGTGGCCGAATCCAGCAATGGCGACAATTGCCGTCCCGAGACCCGCTCTGTCTCCAAAGAGCTCGTCGCAGCGCGGAAGCACTCCAGTCAACGCAGTCTCTCCACTCCAGACGCTCGGGTTGGCGTCATCCCCACATTTAGCTGCGTCCGTCTCGCTCAGCAACCCTGTCTCGCTGTATGCTGCTGGCCAGCCGTTGCTGGACGACACGGACGACTCCGGCTCGTACGAGTATACGCTCTCCTCCTCCCCAAGCCCTGCTCCGGACCTGCGACAGGCCTCCCTCCTCTGCTCTCCCGATCGCTATGTGCGAGTCGACAGCGAGGATGCTTCTCTATACGAGATAGATGCTGCGAGCGTGGCAGAGGCATTGGATTATGCATCCCAGCAGCAGCTCCCTCCCCCTTCACAGGTCTTTCCTTGGCTGCATGGCCTGCATCCCGAAAACCAAACTCAAAGGACCTACTTCGATGGACATCAGTGCCAGACTGGAAACACGCCCAGCTGTCTTCGGACAATCACTCTTGTCAAGGCAGATGGCAATCTCAGCCTCGCACGATTGAAAGGCGCCATTGCTCCATGTGAGTTCATGCGGCCTGGAGCGACGCCTGAGTTCATCGATGCAGACCCCTTGAGTGGTTTGTCTGTCCGTAACTTCCACATCCAGCCTGCCAAGGTTGCCGCAACCTCCGACATCATCATATATGGCCTGGATCCCGATGAGACACGAAGAGTTGCGTGGAAAATTGCTGTTGCTCAGAGACGCTGGCGAGAAAAATTACATGCAGAGGTCAAGAACTTGCCCACGTATAACACTTTTGTCTGCACAAGCTCATTCTCTGCTTTTGAAACAAACCATAGGAATTTGGTATCCATTGATGCGTCTGGCAAATCGACTGGTCAAGTTTTGGACTTGATACAGCAAGAGCGTCAAGAGATGCGAAACATGACGGAAGCCTCTGAAATATGCCACAACGTCTGGCTGGGCCCTAGCCCCGAGCCTGGTGGCGTTGAGGATCAACACTTTGATGTTCTCATCGAATGCAGCGATACGGGTCGGCTGGACCCAAGCGCCTTGCAGTTTATTGCTGAGCACCCTCACTCGTCCCAGTCCTTGCCATCTTCCGTTTGCTTTCCATCTTCCGGGAGTATTATGCCCCCAACCTGGTCTCAGAGAGAGGCCGACGCAATCATCGAAACCTGTAAATGGATATATCACATTGCCCATAACCTTGTGCCCGAATCCAGCGATGCACAGCAAAATGCCATGCCCCGGGAGGAGTCTGCTGCTGCAGGGTCTCGGAAAGTACTAATCCACTGTCCCGACGGATATACAGAATCTACATTGCTCGCCATCGCCTATTTCAGTTATAGCACTGGTTCATCCATACCTGATGCTTGGCTGGAACTCCACACGACCAAACGTCGCAATTTCTTTGCTTATCCCTCTGATGTATCTCTCCTATCGGCCATAGGGCCTCGCTTGTTGTGTGAATCTCCGGTTTCTTCAGGGAAAAGCCTAGAAGACATTACAAGTTATATCAAAGCTGAGCCGCAGTGGTTTTCAGATCTGGATGGCTCACTCCCCAGCAGAATTCTGGATTATCTGTATCTGGGCAATCTTGTTCATGCCAACAACCCAGATCTCTTGAAGCGCCTTAATATTCGCCAAATACTTAGCATTGGAGAATCTGCTTCGTGGACAGACGAAGATCGAGCAAATTGGGGGTCGGAAAACATGTGCTTCGTCGAGGGGATTCAAGACAATGGTATTGATCCATTGACCAAGGAATTTGGGCGATGCCTTGAATTTATTGGTAAGATTCACCAAGGTCTCTTTTGTTTCCTTTCCGATTAATCGTGATGCCGAAAAAGTAATTTACTGAAGCTAACTGATGATTCAGATCAAGGAATACAGAAAGGCACGGCGACATTAGTCCATTGCCGTGTCGGAGTTTCCAGGAGTGCCACCATCTGCATAGCGGAAGTCATGCGGTCTCTCAATCTCTCCTTTCCGCGCGCTTATTGTTTTGTCAGGGCTCGCCGTCTCAACGTCATTATTCAGCCCCATTTACTCTTTGCATATGAGCTTTTACGCTGGGAGGAATTTCTTCGACAGGAAGGTGGCTCTAAAGAACCGTACAAGAGGGAAATGGAGTGGGGAGAGATTGCCAGAGAAATCGCTCTTATGAACCGTCCTTATTCCAGATAATGGTCTTTGTTGTACTGTTTTGAGAAGGCTGTTTTGTTTTATCGCAAGGTATGGATTCTTTTTGTATGGAGCGAACTTTTTGGCTTATGTTTGGAGCTTTGCGCACACGGAACTTGTTTGTCTCTACTTCTGCCTCAAGCCCTCAACTCGAGTGTTTTCTCGAGTGTCCAAGTTTGGTTCATATAGCTATAGCGTAGTTGTCACCAATAATTATAATGGGAATTGCTTGAGCTTTTCTATCTTCCCCCTTTTTTTTTTTTCCGTTTTCAAGCAGCAAACAAAAGAAACTAAAATTGGTCTAAGCATTGGCGTATTAGTGACGTCTGAAGTCTTATTAAACGAGATGATGCTGTTCCAGGGGAACACCGAAGCCGGCGCCAGAGACAGGGGTGTTACATTAGTACACAAATGAAATAGAAAGGTAACAAGCTGAGGCCTCTTCTCGAAATACTGGTTAAGCCAGTCTCAAATTGAGCGGTCTCACGATTAGGGTATTTGCTATGTTATGCCAGTGTATTAGCCTGTGTAGGCTGAAGGATCACTCTTACTGTCCCCTTCAAGAACCCTGTATTGTGTTAGCAATTGTCTGTATACAAATCGAGATTTAAAGGAAAGGGATTTCTTACGAAAATTGTTTGACCAGATAACCTTCTCCGCCATGCTCCATATCGATATTGTAGACGTAAAAGCCTCCGTCACTTGTCACCACCATCACCTGGGGGCTGCTACTGCTCATTGCAACTACACTGCGAAGGGGATTAGAGCCTTGGCCAGGTGGACGAGCTCCAGCACCGAGCCCAGTGGTTTTGGGGATTTTGATATAAGCGAAATCTCGCAGCGGTTCCCACATCTCAGTAACCGATTGTGGAAGATATGAGCCAACAACGCCAGCAACCCCTCGGCCCATAATTTGAGAAGAGCGCCGCAGCATACTGCTGAAAGAGCCGCTTTGCTTGCGATTAACCGGCTGAGAACTGGAATCTGGAGCAGCGCCATTACCTGCGGGCTCTGCGGTTTCACTTTTTGGGGATTCTGTTGCACTGTTATTACTAGGCGAGTCCGCACCATCGTGACTTCGTCCTCGAGACCACCGATCTTGCCTGGGAGAACCTAGAGACTCTATCGGGGCACCAGCTGGGGTGGTATGACCAGGAGGAGCACTGAGACGAAATATGTGTACAGTGTCTGACGCAGAGGAAACGCACAAGAGCGTTGAACTGAGATTAAACGACATGCTATAAATGGTAGACGGATATGTCCCACGTCGGAACTGATAGAGCTTCTGGCCCCGAGGCACTGAAAATATTCGAATGATAGTGCCGGTTTCACTAGCAGTTGCTAGCATCGTTCCTTCGCTGTTGAGACTGATACAGGATAAGGGGGAGCGGTGGGCTTCTACGACATTGACAGCCTTCAGTGTCAATGTGTCGAACATGAGAACTTCTCCCGATGTGGGAGCGACGTATGCGGACTGCGGCGGAGCGTGGGAGGGTCGCCTGCTATCTGATTCTTCTCTCGGTTTAGGGAGAGGATATGCGATGTAGCAATTCTCGGAGGACGCTGATAGGGCGCATATGGCGGACGGGTTCGGCGAGGTAGGGATGGTGTAGAGGAGGCTCATGTTGCTTATGTCGTATAAATAAATCTCTTCTTCGAGCACGACGGCTAGCCGCTTGCGATTCAGTCGGACGGCCAAGACGGCGGATGGGAAGGTCAGTTCGCATATGACCGAAGCTCTCTGCAGTTGCAGCGATGAGCAACAAGTCAATGTGGTTAGTTACTGCCAGGCACCCACCTTGGTATTTTGTATAATCAGATGGCGGGGAGAAAGAATCAGGGCGACCAAAGAGGTCGAGAACAGCATTTCGATAATCGCAATGTTTCCGTCATCGCTGCTGAATATTCGGGAAAACGGGTCCGTATGATAGATGCCGAAGCCTTTGGAGGTGCCTAGAGACAAGAACAGATGGGAGAGTATGTCAGTCTCTGTATACCAGAAAGATGAGGGCAGCACTCGGCAGGCCGCTGGGTCGCATTATTTACCAACAGCAAGGCAGCTATGGTCTTGGTTAAACGTGATGAAGTTGAGCGTCGGAGTTGCCATGGTTATCGCCAGGCGGGAGGTCTGAAGCTGAGGTCGCTCGATATGGGCCTCTCGCGCTGGATGATATGACGTCGATGGAGCTCCGAAACGTCGCGCCAGCAGAAACAAAGTGGGAATATGCGCATAGACAGAGCCGTAGGGGGCGAATAGTCAAACGCGACGGTAATGCGGAGGGCGACGGCGTGTGAATCGTGGACAGGGATATGATGTTGATATCCAAGATGCGACATGGAATGAAGCACGTCGAAACTGACTGTAGAAGAGGAGGAGCACGCCTTGTATCGAGCCGGACGCCTGGTCGCCAGCCCACTGCGGGCACTACTGGGATGGCAGGTACGTACTGCCTGTAGACAGCCGCCAACAAGGGTTGCAGCGGAGAGTGTCAGGCGGGGTGGCAGAAAATATGGACCGCCAAAGGAATAAACGCGTACAAATTAGAATATGAGCATTCACGACACTGATGTTCCATTGATGCTGTATGTGCGTAATCTTAGAGTACGTGTTCAAATTTGTCCTATTCCCTATCTTCCCTATTCCCCCCCTCCCCCTTTGAACACTGTGTATGGCAAAAAAGCAAGCTCAAAAGCCGATTCAATTTTTGGTAAAAGGGAAAATATACTTGATTTTGATTTGTTCAATTAAATATTGTTCTACAGCGTTCCTGAAGTTGGTTGCATGTGTATTCATATCTCAAACTGCTTCTTCACCAACCCACCAACCAACATGAGCACTTATAGAGCCAGCTAAAATGAGGGCAAAATTTACAACTAACACTGAGTCTACATAGTACCAAGTGCGTAAAGCACGGAATAGTGATGCTCTTTACTTTACATACCTAGGTAGGTAGGAATGTAAGTATGACACCAAGCCCGAAATACTGCTCCAGGTTGTATGTGCTGATACCTAGGTACTTGTAAGTGCCTCAACAACTTGAAATTGATAGAGATCCAGGACAAAGCCTCTGTATAGTAGCAACGACTTCTGAGTAGAGGTAGTCCTTAGTTTTGACTTCTGGTTCCTTTTATTCTTTTCTCTTTTGCTTAAGTTGCTTTTCGCTTCTCCTATTTGGATACGAAACAAACACCTGTCCAGTGACTCGACGACTTGTTATATGCGCTGCACGAGGACATGTCCGTTACCTAATATAGCCGTGCCGGGCTACTTGCCGTGGGCTTTCTATTGGAAGAGCCGCTGAAATGGAGGGGCAGGTGCAGCGCAAAGTCCAAGCTGCTCGCATTAGGGGCGCTGGCTCCGGAACGCCCGACCCCCTTGTGGCTCCCTCCCTGGCAGGCTGAAAGTCCCGGTAACCCGCCCTATTCTCGTGTAACCTAGGCTATCAGCTGGGTAAAGAGCGGTATTATTCTGCCAAGTCCCGCTGCCGTCATAGTTTTTTTTTTAACGGAGGGCATGACCTCGCTGCGACAGCCCGGAATCCCCAATTCATTTCTCCTTCTCCAAGCAAATTCTGCTGTCGCCCAGCTTCTCGACTTACTCCGCCGCTCATTTTGCGACCACCCGTGCAATTGGGTCTGATGCCTGCCCAAAGATAGTTCTTTTTTGTTCTTCTTTGGACTCCGACGACTCATAGCTGTTCGCCATGTGGAGAAATTCTCTGCTGAGGGGTGTTCAGAGCGCCCGCCTGGCATCGAGGACGACGAGGCTTGCTGCTGTCCGCAAGCCTCTGCCCTTGACCACCAGGCGCCTGTACGCCGCGACCACCGCCCCCAATGCCACCTCTTCGGCCCCCGACCCGAGTGACAACTTCCTGTCCGGAAGCACTGCCAACTACATTGATGAAATGTACATGCAGTGGAAGCAGGATCCCAAGAGCGTCCACGTATCTTGGCAGGTCTACTTCAAGAACATGGAGAGCGGCGACATGCCCATCTCCCAGGCCTTCCAGCCGCCCCCGAACCTCGTTCCCAACATGACCGGCGGCGTCCCTCGCCTGTCCGGAGGGCTCACCCTTGAGGACGGCTCCGACGTCACAAACCACCTCAAGGTCCAGCTGTTGGTGCGCGCATTTCAAGCTCGTGGCCACCACAAGGCTAATATCGATCCTCTGGGCATCCGCAACACTTCTGCCGGCTTTGGTAACATCAAGCCCAAGGAATTGACGCTCGAACACTATGGCTTCACCGAAAAGGATCTCGACACCGAATACACTCTTGGCCCTGGCATCCTGCCCCGATTTAAGCGGGACGGGCGTGATAAGATGACTCTCCGCGAGATCATCGCCGCCTGCGAAAAGATCTACTCCGGCTCCTATGGTGTTGAATTCATTCACATCCCTGATCGCGAGAAGTGCGACTGGCTGCGCGAGCGCCTCGAGGTCCCCCAGCCATTCAAGTACTCCATCGATGAGAAGCGCCGCGTCCTGGATCGATTGATTTGGAGCTCCAGCTTCGAGTCTTTCCTCGCCACGAAATACCCCAACGACAAGCGATTTGGTCTTGAGGGCTGCGAGACCCTTGTTCCCGGTATGAAGGCTCTCATTGACCGCAGCGTCGACTACGGTGTTAAGGATATCGTCATCGGCATGCCTCACCGTGGTAGACTTAACGTTCTCAGCAATGTCGTCCGAAAGCCGAACGAGTCAATTTTCAGCGAGTTTGCCGGAACCCTTACTGCTGGAGACGAAGGCTCTGGCGACGTCAAGTACCATCTTGGTATGAACTTTGAGCGACCCACGCCTTCTGGTAAGCGTGTACAACTCTCACTTGTCGCCAACCCCTCCCACTTGGAAGCCGAAGATCCTGTCGTTCTGGGCAAGACCCGTGCCATTCAGCACTACAACAATGATGAGAAGGACCACAAGACCGCCATGAGCGTCTTGCTGCACGGAGACGCGGCTTTCGCCGCTCAAGGTGTTGTGTACGAATGTCTTGGATTCCACTCGCTGCCCGCCTTTTCCACTGGAGGCACCATTCACCTCGTCGTTAACAACCAGATCGGTTTCACCACCGATCCTCGTTTCGCACGCTCCACAGCCTACTGCACGGATATTGCCAAGGCTATCGACGCTCCGGTCTTCCACGTCAACGCTGACGACGTCGAAGCCGTCAACTTCGTCTGCCAACTGGCTGCCGATTGGCGAGCTGAGTTCCAGCACGATGTCGTCATCGACTTGATCTGCTACCGCAAGCACGGCCACAACGAGACAGACCAGCCTTCGTTCACCCAGCCTCTGATGTACAAGCGCATTCAGGAGAAGGTCCCCCAAATCGACGTTTACGTCAACAAGTTGCTACAGGAAGGTACCTTCACAAAGGAAGACATTGAGGAGCACAAGCAGTGGGTTTGGGGCATGCTTGAAGAGAGCTTTTCCAAGTCTAAAGACTACCAGCCTACGTCTAAAGAGTGGACTACATCCGCTTGGAATGGCTTCAAGTCGCCCAAGGAGCTCGCTACGGAAATCCTCCCCCATAACGATACCAGCGTCGACAAGGCGACGTTGAACCATATCGGTGAAATTATTGGATCTGCCCCCGAGGGCTTCCAAATCCACCGTAACCTGAAGCGAATCCTAAACAACCGAACAAAGACCGTTACTGAGGGCACCAACATTGACTTCCCCACCGCCGAAGCTCTCGCGTTCGGCACTCTCGTTACGGAGGGCTACCATGTAAGAGTCTCCGGCCAGGATGTTGAGCGTGGTACCTTCTCACAGCGCCATGCCGTCTTCCACGACCAAGAGACTGAAGAGACATACACTCCCCTGCAGCACATCAGCAAGGATCAAGGAAAGTTTGTCATCTCCAACTCGTCTCTTAGCGAGTTCGGAGCCTTGGGCTTTGAGTACGGTTACTCACTGTCATCGCCAAACGCGCTTGTGATGTGGGAAGCCCAGTTTGGTGACTTTGCAAACAACGCTCAGTGCATCATTGATCAGTTCATTGCATCTGGTGAAGTCAAGTGGATGCAAAGGACAGGCCTGATCATGTCTCTGCCTCACGGATACGACGGCCAGGGCCCAGAGCACTCTTCTGGTCGTCTGGAGCGTTACCTGCAGCTTTGCAACGAAGATCCTCGCGTTTTCCCATCCGAGGACAAGCTTCCCCGCCAGCACCAGGATTGCAACATGCAGATTGTCTACATGACCACCCCTGCCAACTTGTTCCACGTCTTGCGTCGACAGATGCACCGCCAGTTCAGAAAACGTAAGTTGTCCTTGATGATGCTTATTCACATTGTATCGTATACTAACATTCATATAAAGCCCTCATCATCTTCTTCTCCAAGTCACTCCTTCGCCACCCGCTTTCAAGATCTAACATTGAGGAATTCACTGGCCCCAACGCTCAATTCCAGTGGATCATCCCCGACCCTGAGCACCAAACTGGAGCTATCAAGGCTCCTGAAGAGATTGACCGAGTTGTTCTTTGCACTGGTCAGGTTTGGGCCAGCCTACACAAGTACCGCGAAGAGAACAAGATTGACAACGTGGCCTTGACTCGTATCGAGCAGCTGAACCCCTTCCCTTGGCAGCAGCTGAAGGAGAACCTTGACATGTATCCTAATGCCAAGACTATTGTCTGGGCACAGGAAGAGCCTCTTAACGCCGGAGCCTGGAGCTTTACACAGCCGCGAATCGAGACTCTGCTGAACCAGACCCAATACCATGATCGCAAACACGTCATGTATGCTGGTCGTAACCCCTCTGCCTCTGTGGCCACTGGTTTGAAGAACACGCACAAGCTTGAGGAGCAGGAGTTCTTGGAGATGGCCTTCTCTGTCACCCAAGACAAGCTAAAGGGCGAGTAAACGAAGGCTGTAGGAAAAAATAGACGGGGCGCTCTGAGAAGGGGTATGGTACGAGTACGGCTGTTTGGCCGCGCTGCCTTGGCCGCGCTGCCTTGGCCGCGCTGCCAAAAGGTTCATCAATTGTGTGGCTAGATCCGCAACATACTTAGAGCTTGGCGCTCTCTTTTCCCACAGCATGCTGAAAGGCTTCGATAGAATGAAGCGATATGCTTTGCTTGTTAGTGTAATAATACGCTTGTTGAATACATTTTACGTTACATATCCTCCTGCACGTTGATAAGGTTATTTTTCATGCATGTATGTATTTCTTCTCTATAAGAATTGACATTAAGCCCTGAGAGCCTGTGCCCACTCATGAAGTTTATCAATAACAACAGGCGCAAAGGCCGTTAATGTGTCCTCAATAACCCGTTCAAAGTAAAGAATTGCTTCTTCTTCTCCCATCTCAAGGTGAAATCTCTCTCTAACTTTCAGCACAGCTTTGTCTGGTTCTAACCTGATATCCGGAATGTTGGCGTGAATCATAAGACTAAACAAGTTGAGAATCAGGTTTGAGGATTTTCGCAATGCAGTATAGGCTAAAAAGCAATATTGCTTAAATTGGCGGTAATGTTCTGACTGTACTCCGCCCATACAGTCTACCATTTCCTTGGAGAGCTTCATTACAGGGGCGAATGGCTTTGGATCCCGACCAAGGATGTACCCAAAATCAGCATGGAAGAAATGGCCGTCTGGTGCCAGCAACAGGTTGTCAAGATGCCGGTCGCCAACTCCAAGGATATAGGTGATAACACAGTATCCTGCACAGGATCGAACATATGTATCAAGCGTGTCTTGACGCACGCCCAGGGGTTGTCGGTCATCTGGGTTGTGGTGTTTGAGATATGCCAAAGCTGGGTTATTTTTGAATTTGCTGACAATACTGGACAGACTTTGTGACTGGACAAATTGAGAGGCACCCGCCGTAGTACTTGTTGCAAGGATTTTGTAGGGTGATAGTTTGAGATCAAGGTTTTCTTTCTGTAGTAACTGGTCCATCAGGGTAATAATTTGAATGACCAGTTGATCTTGTCTTAGATCATCACCGAGCTTGAAGATTATAGGATATTGACTTCCTGCTGTGGTTCGAAAGGTGCATTTGATTGGATTCAGCGAGGATTTGAATACTGTGACTTGATCCGGTATGATGCCGGTAATTTTGACGGAAGGGTCAAGCGGCATGGCTAGTGGCGGATCGATGGTGATGAGTTCGTTCTTTGCATCTCCAAAGAATGTTTTGACTCGGTCTGTTTTCTTAGCGATTGACTCGCTTGATAGCTTAATGTCATTTGCAATCCTTGACAAGATAGCAAGGAGCTCAGCCTGCCTTAGGAGGGTCGTCCTATGGTCATTGCCGTCTGGCTGCTTAATGAGTTCTGTCATAAACTCATATGCCACTTTCCGATATATTTCTCGATTGCGGACATCTTGCTCAGGGCTAAAATCGTCGCATTCAACCATAAGATACCAGTGGAAGTAGTTTCCTAGCATGAAATTTGCTGCAGCGCGTTGAATCAGGAACTGTGCGAGCGGTGAATCCTGAATGTTTTCTTCATTCGAGTCAGTAGACATGTGCTCATATTTAAGTGCTTGTACAAGCTGGAGCAGATATAGAAGTAGCTCATCGTCATCAGCCTTTCGCAATCGATTGACAGCATACGATCGAACAGTAGGGTTATCAAAAGATGGCCCTAGCATGCCAAGAGCATCGTCCACATCAATTTCGGTCCAGCGACTCAGAACCTGAATTGCTTGCTTCAATTCACTCTGATCGTTCCAATTAACAGACTTGACAAACTTGGCCAAACCTCTTTTGTCCTTGGTCAGATGATATCTAAACTTCCAGACAAGGTCTGCCTCTTCTGGTGTTAAAATCTGTGTTGGTGGGTAGGACATTATGACATTCAGTTCATCTCGGACCTTTGCGTTGGGCTTTAGGTCTCTATCGAGGATACCGTGCCGGTGAGAACTTCGAAAAAGGCGGCGGTGTTTTGCTTCAGCCGGGTTATCCCTTTGTCCCACTTCAGGGTCATAGATCATTACAAGGCGTGACCCAATATCGGCCGAGCTCTCGCCAATGGCATTGATGCCAGGGCCAAAATGGACTTCCGGTTGCCTTTGCGCTGCCATTTGCGAAGCAGATAAGGGCTGTAAAGCCGATATTGGGGGGGGATCATACTCGTGATCTGCAAAGACGACTGGAAAGTCAAATCGCGGCAACTCCACGTTCAGGACGCACGTATAAGGATCGGGCGAGTCGCCATGGTGGTTTGGAACGTCGGTCTTCTTGTTGATGTCATGTTTGTTCGCGGTGCGATCCTGCTGGCGCAGTTTTGTGGATAGCCTGGCGGCGTGTAATCCCTTCTTCTCAAATCCTCTAAATACCATCTGGTCAAGCCAGTCTACTCGTGGAATCTCACCCATTTCGTGCTTCTTGAACAGACTCTCCATCCTTTCCAGCTCTTCTGCGTAGCTAGCCAGCTGTGGCACTCCCTTGCCATTGTTTCCGACGATGGCGGGTGTGGTCGTATCCTCCGTCCCATCTGCGTGCTTATTCCTGTGAATGTAACACTTTTGGCGACCTCTTATGATTTGGTTATCGTCACTAAACAAAGAAAGGGTAGTGCCTCCAAATGGAGTAGCATGAGAGACATCGTTTATGCCTTGATCTGGCGAAAGATCCCATACAGTGATGGCCAGCCGGGAGTTAACTGGGATGGACTCGTAAGAAATAGGTAAACGCAGCCACTCGTTCCATCTAGGGAATAAGATCGTCAGGTTAGCTTTATATGTGCTATCTTCCATGCGTATTGACAGTGAAGCACATGCCTTCGCTCTAGACGAGGAGGTTTGTACGATGTCTGAATCGGCACCGTCAAGGCTTTGGATCCAGCCCAGACCTGTACTGTAACATATAGCTCGGAGGAAGGGCTGTGTATGCAGTCATTAGGAATACTAAATCTTCTATCGCTGCGCATCGTTGCATAGCGCACCTGTTGTTTGAGCCAATATGGCGGACATTCGGCTTGTCAAGGAGTGTCGAATATTTAGCAGGACGCTCGTCTCCATCTATGCCAATGCTGAGAGGGGCGGTTAGCCAGATGACAACGTCCAGGTCCAAGAGTGTCTTACATTCTAATGCTGACTGGAGACTCAATATCCCTAGAGGCTGCGAAAGAGAACGGATCTATTCGGCCATATTCAGTCATCGTGCCTCACATTTCTGTCTGGCCGGCAGAGTGACATAGATGATGTCAACAGGAGCCCTGATAAATCGCGGCTTAGAGCCGCGCAGAGGGATATTGACCTATATATAGCTCACTCAGTGGGGCAAATATCCACTTGGCCGATCCAGCGATCAGAGAGCGGGAAGCTTAAAATGTATATGCAAGGTAAAAAAAAGTCATCGATACATAAAATTGGTAGTATCCATAGGGACAAACAATGAAAATTATTGACTATAGCTGTATTCGTTTAAAGAGAATATAGATACTTCAAGAGTATCTTGCAAAGCAATTCGATTCATTTATATAACCACAGATATAGCAGGCGATGTAGGTACTTAAAGTGTCTAATATGCCCTTTGCAGCTCCAAGCTTACCTAAAGAGTTAGCGTGCCTCCCTTGCAGGCGTGTCTTGCATACAGTCTATAGAGCTTGACATGATTGATGAACGCTCTGCACGCTTAAGAATCGGTTTCCGTTCGCGTTCTGAGCCTAGGCGTTGCTTCTCTAGGCTATCCTAAGCCTTTTCATTAGCAACTTTGCTGCCGCACCAATCTGCATTGCCATTGCCCTTCAATCCCTCTGGGACGCGTCTCAATGGCGTCAAATATCTTTGAACCTCCAGACGAGGCAGTCTTGGCTCCTCTACTTCGTCAATTTCCTGGCAGGGATCACCAGATACGTTCGCTTGCCTCTTTGCTCCATGTACGGCGCATTCCGTTTCTCATAACGAAGCAACCTGCCGCTAATGATGATATACAAACCAGACAGACGCCGCGCCTTGTCGAAACCTTGTCCTACACGGCTCCGAAGCGACGGGGAAATCCAGCGTCACGGCCCAGCTGCTTGCACGATTAGCACAGCATGATAGCACAGGTGATAGCGCCGCGAGTAATCGTGCTCCCGCGCTCGTTTACGCAACTGTTGACGTTGCCCGATGCATTTCTGCGCGGCACTTCTTCGAGGGTATCATTGTTGCAGTAACCAGTGCGCTCAACGCATGGGATGGCACCGAAGATAGCGACAATTTGCCGCAACGATGCGAGACACTGGCCCAGCTTGCAGCCTCGCTAAGCTCTATATTCGACCAGCCTCGGATAAAAGATAATTTAAAGCATTTTGTGCTGGTATTAGATGGTATGGACAAGCAAAGGGACGCGCCTCCAACTTTGATGCCGGCGTTGGCGAGGTTATGTGAAACTGTAAGCTAGAAACGTTCAAGTTATGAAGGTGACTTGTTATGGAGCAGCCACTAACAAGAAACTGGTAGATTTCATTCCTTACATGCGTTTTTGTCGTTACAACTCCACCGGCTGGGTTTCTTCGAGCTTGTCCAACTTCGTACCTCTACTTCCCTCCATATAACAAATCCGAATTGATCGAGATTCTGTCAAAAGAGCCTCCATCTCATACTCAAAAAATTACAAGCGCAGCCGAGGATGCACAAGAAACAACGTTAGATCCGAACGAAGCAACTCTATGGACCAAATTCTGTGCTACAGTCCATGATTCTCTTGCTCAGTCCGCTGGACGGTCGTTGCCTTCTTTCAGAAACAGCTGCCACACTCTTTGGCCGCGGTTTATAGCGCCCATTGTTGCCGGAACAAACACGCCGCACCAATTTTCGAAGCTGCTCATTGCTGCCAGACCCTTTTTCCAGGATGAGGCCTTCCTAAATCCCAAGATTATTTCGCCCCGAGTCTCAACATCTAAAACAAGCATCGAGAATGGCAAGCAGCCTTCAAGTCGATACTTCGAATCATCACTAACATTAACTATCTCAACCTCACAACCTCTCGTGGGACTGACAGGCTTACTACCAACTACCGCTCGAGTACTCTTGCTCTCAGCCTATATCGCGTCTCATAACACTGTCCGCCATGATTTAACTCTATTCTCTACCCATTATAGTGGTCGCAAGCGCCGGCGTGCCGGCCCCAACTCTTCTCGAGCCAATCACCGAAATAAACAGCGTAAGATATCTCGTAAACTACTTGGAGCGCATGCATTTCTCTTAGAACGCTTGTTAGCGATATTTGAGGCTATACGAACGGAATGGATCCCATTGGCTGTCTTACCAGGCATAGATGGCGATATCGGTATGGGCTTGGCCACTTTAGCCAGTCTGAGACTACTTATACGAGTGGGAACCGGAGATATTATGGACAGATCTGGTAAGTGGAGGATTAATATCGGATGGGAGATTATACGCGGCATAGGGAGAGGTATTGGGGTCAATATCGAAGAATGGCTCGTGGAATGATGAGGAAGGCAAACATATCTAGCACATATGCGCGCAAGGCCTACGCTATTCCAACCTCCCTAAGTAAACACGGTGTTTGAATCATACGCCAGTCAGAGAAGGTGTGCAGTATATGCTGAATTCTGACTATTTGTATTGGCCATGCTCTACTCCTCCGTGGCCAGCCGCAGTTCGTCGACGATTCGAGAGAGATAAAATTCCCTCGTAGCAGTCGGCAACGGCCGCAAAGTTTTTGCAATCCGAGCAACAGCCTGCCTCCCTTTCTCATAGGCCTCCAGGTCTTTGTTTCCATAGACGTCTCGTCCAGACGCGTAATGCTCTTGCTGCTCTAGGTCACGGAAGAAGACATTTACCGCAGTGCTCATGTCGGACATTGGAGCAGCCGTATGAAGCCATAGAGCGGGTAGCAATAATATATCGCCTGGGTAAATCTTTGCCTCTTGAGGATGCGTTCCGTGAAGTGAGGCCGCTAAAGACTCCAGCCCCTTGAAAACGTCTATACTAGAGCTGGAAGCACCAGGTGCGAAAGACAAGTATTTTACGTCGCTGGGTGGGAATAAGATCATCTTTCTAACCCCCGTTACCTGCGCATAAACGTTTGCCATAACCTGTTATAAGAGTGCGATATCTTGTTAGTTCATCAAACAACAAGGCATAACGAGCAATCTGCCGTAGAAAGGAAATATGAACTAACATCATAGTGTAACCACATATTCACCCGTCCAGATAATCTCAAGACTGAACTGAAAAGACGGTCCTTGATATAGGCCATTTCTGGCGGTAGCGTAAAGTCTTTTGCCAAACGTGGGAAATCTTCTTCCAGTTTGGCTGGCATTTCGGATGGTTTATTGCGCGACAAAGCTCGTAGGTAAACTCTAGCCCCGGACTGTAATTTGTCCATGATGCTTCCGAACGAGTCTGTGACGTACGCAAAATTTTTGCTATTGAAATCCATTGTTCCTCTGTCTTCGTGGGATTCGTGTATAACAAACTAATGGCTCTTCATCAGTTGACTGTTCATTGCCGGCCCCTAGGAGTTTCCAGAGTCATTTTGACGTACCTTCTCATTTGCACCAATCTGGCTTACCAAGAACTCAGGAGACCATTTGCTTTGGCAGAGCCCTATATTGCAGCTCTTGAAAATGACGGGTTTCCCGTCACGAAGGATCATCTGGAACTGCTCAGCCGACTCAAGCTGTATTCGAGGCACAGGCGTAAGTTGAATCCCATGCTCTCCTCGATGTAAGCTTCCCACATCATCCAAAACTGTGGGAGCAGAAACATTCGAAAACTTGCGACTCCCAATAAAGTCAGGAGCGGATTTCGACGAATCACAAGGGTGTGATGTGCGATAAATAGAATTCAAGATATGATCGGGCATATGAACTTTATAAATGGCCGTCTCCCAAAACGTTCCCATGGAGAAGCAAGTCGCTCCCCCACCCATCACCAAAAGAGAATCGTCATAGGGTATAATTGACGATCCAATCATGAATGGCATGCGCTGGTCATCGCTTGGAGTTGAAAAGTTTGTGACTTCTATTCCATCGACAGAAGGCCTTATAGCTGTGATAGTTTGGGCGTGTAGGAGAGGGTCTGCCCCCAAACCACCGCATATTATTATGGAGGCCCCTAGATGAACAATTTGAGCGCCAAAAGAAGAGAGAAGTTGTCCATCTGAAAAGGTGTCTGGGAGAGGAGAGAATGAAATTGTTGGCTAGCGCAACATTCAAGTCGTTAGCATATAGAGCTTTTGAGAGCGACTGAGTATATGAGACCAAAGAGGAGCGAAACATACTTGGAGATCGAAGGCCTTTATTTGCCACTTATACTGCTTGGTATTGATGCAGCCATTTTGAGATATGCCTCCAGCCAGCATTCCACAGAAAGTCCCCGGCTGGTCTGAAGGAGAGATTCCATTGAAAGCAATTGATCCGAACCAAGGATCGGGAGCAGGTCCTACGACCTGGCAACTTTGCCAGCAAGCTTTATCAGGGTTAAATAGAAAGATTTCGTCTGACAGTTTCGATGAACTTTTCTTCCCTCCGAAAATCAGGAGAAGTGACGAATTTCCCAGTCGAACCGCAGAATGCCTAAATAAGGGGGTAGGTAGTCGTGGCATTTGCCGCCACTGTGGGCTGGTACCTCCTTCAAAGAGCCAACAGTCGGACAAAGCACAAGAGGGCGATGTGCGGCCGCCAACTAACATGATGCCATAGCCTCCCAGGTCTGTCAAAGTGAAGCACATCCGAGCAGGAGGGCCAGAAGAAGGCAGCTGAGGGGCCTGCGGTTCGCCGTCGAGAGAAAAGATATCATAAGTGGGTTCTCTGCTGTTGAGACTCATTCCTAGCAAATTCAGAGCAAATCGTTGTCCGAATGCATTGATGGATATCATGGCATTTCCAAATCGCCGCCTGGTCGTTTTCGGGGAAGATTTGCCTACTACTTCAACATGTAACCCTGTGGGTGCCTTTGGGTCTATGCTCCACGTTGAGGCGAGATCTTGCAATGAAGAAGGCTGATTGCGACTAGTAGAAGCATGGAGTACAAAGTAATGCCGTGCGAAGAGTATAAACTCCTCCCACTCGTCGAAAGGTTCGACATCATCAAGGGCAATTCGCTCTGAGTCACTAACGAACTGGTCACTCGACCATGTCTGCCATAAGTCCTTTATCTCCACAAAAGACCATCCACGTTCTTGAAATCGGCAGGTCTGGCTCTTGACTGTAGGATACACTTTAATAGAGCGCAAAGGAGTGCTCAGCTTCTCAAAATGACTGAGCATCTGTTGAGCAAATGGATGGTTCTTTCCAAAAGGTAGTATCTGCTCCAAAAGACAGAAATCGTTTTCTAGACACTGGTTAGCATAAAGCACACTCAATTCTGAGTGAGATAGCTGAAAGGGTAGGAGAATCGTTGTGGGGGACTTCTGATACGGGTTATCGTGAAATTTGAGGACGCAGACAAACCTCGGCCCACAGTGCTTGCCCATTGGATCAAAGAATCGGTTGACAGAGTGTCCATATAAGTAATGGAAACTTCGGCCACAAAAAGAATAGCACACTCAGGTAGATCAACAACCGTCTTCAAGACATCGCGTAGGCGGTCGAGTTGGCGAAGATCACATCCAAGCTGGCAATACTTATCACTGCGCAGGAGCACTCCGTCTTTATCATCACTTACAGTGAAATCATCTCCGAGAAGATCTCGCAGTTCCGGAGTTTGTAAAATAATAGCCCGTTTCTTCCGAATAAGATCAGGGTAGTCAATGTCGATGAAGAGGGCATCATTGCCCAGGTCTCTATAACGAGCATGACATTGCCAGGGCAAGACATCACTTTGGTCTGTAAGACTTTGCTATTGCAGTAAAGATTTATAGAATACGCAGTCCCTTACCTCCCACAACCTAGGTTGATAATGACCTTTTTCCCGGTCGTCTCTTTAGCCAGAAATCTCTGCACAATAACATCAATCGCCCGAAGACGAAGCCAGTATCCTCTATTAATGAGAGGGGCTCTCCTTTGGAACTTTGGGACAAAGTAGCGGAAGAAAGAGGGCTCATTTCCATAATACAGTCGTTCAACACTGCGTTTGGAGGCAATGCTGCTATTGTTTGTCTATTTTATCATTAGTGCTGGTCTACGAAAACACCGTGGAAATTGCAACTAAGTAGGGCTATTGCAGGGCATGATATTGAGTCAAATCCTAGCATAAATAAACACACATACCCCCATAACCATGTCGTCCAGGGTCGACGACCCCAGACGTCCTTCTAACTTCGCCATGGTATTCAAAGCACAAAGATGGAGAAGAAATAGAAGAGTGCCCCATAAAAGAGCATGAGATTAAATTTGTATTTCTTTTAGCAGCACAGAGGTGTATATACCCAGGTACTTGTTGGTCCATGTAGGTTATCTTACATAACCAACTTTTTTTTTTTTCTTTTTTTTTTCCGCCTTCTTTGAAAATGGGCTAAAAAAGACCAACGAACATAGTCCACTTGGCACGGGTGCTTTTACCAATAGTAGTACTTCATTTAATCCATATGTTTGGTACTCTGAATCTGCATCTGTCTCCAGAATCATCATGGTTACTTTATAGCTAATCAGTTAATAACAAGCTTGAAAAATTGTGCGATTTCTGCGAGGGCGGTTTGCTGGCTTGCTGTTGCATTTATCAAGTTGAACAGTGACTGCGAGTCTATTAGGTGCTTGGCTATAGTGGAGTCTAGTTGACAATATGTCCGGACACGCATATTGCGTGCGTTCATCTTCATCTCGTCCAGCAAAAGGCTGATCTCAGTAGCGTTACCTTGCCGGCGGCCATGGAAGCTAAACTCATTGATATGAAGACTGATGAGCTCTAGCTGTGTCTCTAGATCGTATCCGAAACCGATTACTCTGTGATAGCCTCGTTGGTGCCACGCATCCGAGATTTTCTTCAGGTTGTCAGGGGAGACATGGCCTTTCTCAAGCTGGTTGCTAATATATGCGTTTAAAGCCACTGAGAGGCTGAATTCTAGTTCACAATATAAAAGACTCTGTTCTCGAGGCTCAAGTGAAACTGCTCCATGTAGCTCTATTGATCCTTTAACAGCCGGCTGCGATCGTCGGCTTTGGTGAACCTCGGTCTCCTCCAATCAGCCTCATCTCTTAGTCATGCAATAACAGTCAATATTAACTCACTATATCTTTGGCAATCTTCCTAATGCCATCTAGAATACCTATCTTCTTCGGTGACGTTTGTTTGTTGCGGTAGCTGGATCGCTCTGTGACTTCAAGCCAGCCATCCTTACCGATCATAGTTTTCTTACCCTGCCTTTCAGCTGGATATTCTTGATCACGGAAATATAAGGCAAGAGGAGAGAACATATAGTTCATATCGGGCGCGTGTTTATTATCCATTGTGTTAAGTAATTGCTACTGCGAGTAGTAAAGTAATACTTAGATATAAAAGTTAAGTAAAAGGAAAGTAATTAATTAAGGTATATTAATATTTATTAAGGAATATATATAATAAATATAATAATAAATATAATAATAAATATAATAATAAATATAATAATAAATATAATAATAAATATAATAAAAAATATAATAATAAATATAATAATAAATATAATAATAAATATAATAATTATTAAAAATTTAAGTTATATATTATTTATATTTAATATTATAGCTTTTTTTTATATTATATAATAATATTTAATTCTTAAAATCTTAAATAATATAATTATTAAAGTTATATTTTTTAATAAAATATTTAAGTTATTTAATAAAATTAATTTTATTATATATATATATACTATAGTACTATTTTTTTATTTAAAAAATAATTTTTTTAATATAAATTAAATTAATAATATAATTATAATAATATAATTCTAAAATCTTAAGTTATTATTATAAAGTAAAAGAATTTTTAAAGAATATATATATATATATTTATATTAATAAATAATTAAAGTTTATTTTTAATATAGCTATATAAGTTTAAAAAATATATAAAAAAGAATTATACCTAGCCTTTAATAATTAATTAAATAAATAAAAATATTTAAAAAAAATATTATATTTAACTTTATTAAGTTTAATAATATTAATAATATTAAATTATTAAAATTACTTATTAGTTTTAAAATAAGGTTTTTATATTAAAAATAAAGTTTTTTATTAGTAATTTAATAATATAATATTAAAGTAATAATAATATTATTAATATAAAAGCTAATAAATATAAAAGCCTTTAATAATTTATTAGAAAATAAAAGAAATTTAATTACTAAGTATAATTTAATTAATAAAGCCCTATTATAATATATAAACCTTAACTTTAAAACTATTTTTTTTAATATAATAAAGTAGCTTTATAATAGCTTAGAATAACTTTATAAATAACTATAATCTTTTATATATAAATTATAATAACTAAAGAAAATAAAAAAAAACTATAATAATAACTATAATAATTAAAAAGAAAGTAATAAAAGAATTATAAGTTAAAAAAAATAAGCTAAAAGTCTTAGAAAAATTTTAAATAAGAAAAAAAGTAATAAAAAGCTTATATACTTAAAGAAATTAAAGAAGAAAATATTATAATAAGTAAATATATAATAAAGAAAAGTAATTATAATAATAATAATAATAAAATATTAAAAAAAAAGGTTTAATAATAAGTTATAATAATAAGTAATTTATTTTTTTATACTTAAAAGAAATATTAATAAATAGTATAAAATATTTATTATTAAATATATTATATAATTATATAATTAATAAATAAAATATAATTTATATTTAATATTATTATATTATTAATAATTTCATTTAAGTTATTTAATAAATATATTTATAATATTTTATATAATAAATAATTTTTATAAAGTGGTATAGTACTATAGTATAGTTAAACTGTGTATATAGGATATTCCTATATTACTAAGAAAGTATTTATAAATTTAATTAATTCTCCTAGAACTTAAAAGAGATATACTTTTCTTACTATTTATTACCTTACTAAATAATAGTAATTATACCTTATTATACGCCTTTAATTTAAAATTTTTACTTATTTAATTTATTAATATTTACTTATTACTAAAATTAAATTATTTTATTTATTTAATATAACTATTTCCTTCATTTATTTATTTACCTATACTATTATAATAGTTACTTTATATCTTTAATTAAATAATATTCTTTTAATAAATAAAATATTTATTAACTTAACTCCTTACTATTAAAAATAAAGCTATACTTAAGAATATTTTTAAATATTAAGTAAATTTATAAATTTAATACTTATTAAAATAAGTAAATAATTAAAGTAAATATAAAATATTTAAAAACTTTATTAACTATTAAAGATAATAATAAGTACTTAAATTAATAAATTTAATAATTAATACTTTAATAAAATATATAAAATATTTATAATTATTAATTTAATAAATTAAGTAATTAATTAATTTAACTATATTACTAACTTTATTAATATTAATAAATAAGTTAATAAATAAAGGGACTATAGTAATATTAATATATATAAAACTTACTTAAATAAAGAAAAGTAAACTATAAAAGTTACTTAAGTAAAGTTTATTTTTATTATAGTAAATATTAATTTAATAAATAAACCTGCGTATACTTATTTAATTAAAAAAAACTATATTATTACTTTATTAAATAAGTAAAAAATTACTTTTAATAAAAATAAT